CAACGAAAACAAAGACCACCACCTCACGAAAGTCGTGAACAACGGAAAGCTGATCGTGGCTTACGTCCCGACGCAAAGACGCAGCGTCATGGTCAGCATGCTGTCACAACCCATAGCTCACATCCTATCAAGTATACCCGGGACGTCAAACGCGACGTTACATTTAGTGTCGGAATTCGACAGCGTGGTCAACATCCTGCAAAATCTGCCGGCGCAATCCACGCTGATCATCCAAGTCAATCTCGGCGAACCACGGGTTGTTAACATCTACGTCAAAATCATCAAAGGCTTCAAACTCCAGTGGACCCAACAACACCAATAACACGTTTGCTCCATTTACGTACAGGTGGACGTGGATGCCTTCACGTCACCATGGAAGACACGATATCGCTGACGAAAATGTTCATTCACAATAACATACATCTGATGGGTTCGAAAAAATTATCCAAAAAATTATCCGAAAACCAATTAAAATTTCTTCTCTAATATAAACCATGACAAAAGCCACCATCGCGTTCTCCGATCTCGGGGACACGCGAGGATTCGACCAACCCGCTACGGAAAACGCCTTGTATGTCCTGCACTTACAAAACAACGTGTACCAACGTCGAGAAGTCATCGTCGAATTGAACTGGATCATCAATATCATCCTGACCTACCCCTATCTCGTCATGGATCAGGATCGTAATATTCTCAAACTAAAAAACAATGGGATTCTACTGGGGAAAAAAAAAAAGGGAATGTACGCATCACCATTACCAGATCAAACGGGTTATATGCTAGTCCCTCACTCGGAAGACACAACGAAATGGCTCTATTTAAAACAATATAGTGAAGTCCCAGACTCGTGGATCACTCTTATACCAGGTTCTACCCTTATTATCAACGTCGTTCTTGGAAATGCCTCCGGACAACGGGTGGGACTTCTGGTTGGGGTAATCATACGCTAGCACGATCGCCATAAAAATCAACGCTGCCGTATTTATGTACAACTAGGAACAGCTTCCGCCACAAGCCTCGAGGGAGTCGAGGTTTTTATTAGAGATGAAATTTTACTCTACCAGAGTTTTTCATACGAACACGTGTACCTCATCAGCTTAAAGTATATTCATCAACGATTGACAGAGGACCAATTAAATATTATTTCGTAAACTATATATTTATATAGATGAGATTGTATCCGGCCATGGACGACGTGGCTCAAACGCTCGAAACCGTGGATGGATTTTGTTTGTGACAGATCGGCGACATCAAACGCCAATTGGAACGAGAATGTGACATGCAACTCAGACTGCACAAAAAGTACCATCGGGCCGTCGATGCCATCGACTGGATTGACATGGCCCTCGTGGTCGCTGGCTTGGGACTCGGGAGTGACCGAGGTTCGAAGCCTACCATTCGAAAAACAACAAACTCGGAGCTCTCAGGGAGAGCGCAGTCGACCACAACCCCACGGGAGAAATACCAGCACACCACAAACATCATCAGACCAGGGACCAGGCGGGTCTCTGGTCAAAACACCAGTTTCTGCCTCCGTGGGTTGTGGCCACAGAGGGCTTTTATTTGAACTTGCTCTGTTATCACTATTTTTTTAAGGGGGGCTACGGAACTTATTTCATAAAAATAAGCCTCTAAGCCGCATCTGATGCAAAAAAAACACTCTAGTACTACTAGTGGGCCCAGGTGAGGTCAACAACAGAAATCAAAGAAGTACTTGAATTTTGAAAACAAACTTCAGATTTACATTTATGGATGCACCGACATGACCCGCCCATATCTGTACAGTGCGCCATGTTAAATATTAGTGCGCAAGGGCACAGCCTAGAATGAACACTGAATTTGTAATGACAATAACTACTCTATGCAGTTTGTGATGACAAATCTCTATGCAGTTTGTGATGACAAATCTCTATGTAGTTTGTGATGACAAATCTCCCTGTAGTTTGTGATGACACAGTCTCCCTGTAGTTTGTGATGACAAATCTCCCTGTAGTTTGTGATGACAAATCTCCCTGTAGTTTCTGATGACAAATCTCCCTGTAGTTTGTGATGACAAATCTCCCCGTAGTTTGTGATGACACAATCTCCCTGTAGTTTGTGATGACAAATCTCCCTGTAGTTTCTGATGACAAATCTCCCTGTAGTTTCTAATGACAAATCTCTCTGTAGTTTCTGATGACAAATCTCTCTGTACTTTCTGATGACAAATCTCCCTGTAGTTTGTGATGACAAATCTCTATGCAGTTTGTGATGACAAATCTCCCTGTAGTTTGTGATGACACAATCTCCCTGTAGTTTGTGATGACAAATCTCCCTGTAGTTTGTGATGACAAATCTCCCTGTAGTTTCTGATGACAAATCTCCCTGTAGTTTGTGATGACAAATCTCTCTGTAGTTTCTGATGACAAATCTCTCTGTAGTTTCTGATGACAAATCTCCCTGTAGTTTGTGATGACAAATCTCTATGCAGTTTGTGATGACAAATCTCCCTGTAGTTTGTGATGACAAATCTCCCTGTAGTTTCTGATGACAAATCTCCCTGTAGTTTGTGATGACAAATCTTCCTGTGGTTTGTGATGGCACAGTCTCCCTGTAGATTGTTATGGCACAGTCTCCCGTAGTTTCTGATGACAAATCTCCCTGTAGTTTGTGCTGACAAATCTCCCTGTAGTTTGTGATGACACAATCTCCCTGTAGTTTGTGATGACAAATCTCCCTGTAGTTTGTGATGACAAATCTCCCTGTAGTTTCTGATGACAAATCTCCCTGTAGTTTGTGATGACAAATCTCTCTGTAGTTTCTGATGACAAATCTCTCTGTAGTTTCTGATGACAAATCTCCCTGTAGTTTGTGATGACAAATCTCTATGCAGTTTGTGATGACAAATCTCCCCGTAGTTTGTGATGACAAATCTCCCTGTAGTTTCTGATGACAAATCTCCCTGTAGTTTGTGATGACAAATCTTTCTGTAGTTTGTAATGACAAATCCTCTTGTAGTTTGTGATGACACATTCTCCCTGTAGTTTGTGATGACAAATCTCCCTGTAGTTTCTGATGACAAATGTCTCTGTAGTTTCTGATGACAAATCTTCTTGTAGTTTGTGATGACACAGTCTCCCTGTAGTTTCTGATGACAAATCTCTATGTAGTTTCTGATGACACAGCCTCCTGTAGTTTCTGATGACAAATCTCTATGTAGTTTGTGATGACACAGTGTCCCTGTAGTTTGTGATGACAAATCTCCCTGTAGTTTGTGATGACAAATCTCCATGCAGTTTGTGATGACACAGTTTTGTGATGACAAAACTCCCCTGTAGTTTGTGATGACAAATCTCTATGTAGTTTGTGATGACAAATCTCCTGTAGTTCTGTTTGATGACAAATCTCCCTGTAGTTTCTGATGACAAATCTCCCTGTAGTTCTGATGACAAATGTAGTTTGTGATGGCACAATCTCCCTGTAGTTTCTGATGTCAAATCTCCCTGTAGTTTGTGATGACAAATCTCCCTGTAGTTTGTGATGACAAATCTCCCCGTAGTTTCTGATGACAAATCTCCCTGTAGTTTGTGATGACAAATCTCCCCGTAGTTTCTGATGACAAATCTCCCTGTAGTTTGTGATGACAAATCTCCCTGTAGTTTCTGATGACAAATCTCCCTGTAGTTTGTGATGACAAATCTCTATGCAGTTTGTGATGACAAATCTCCCTGTAGTTTGTGATGACAAATCTCCCCGTAGTTTCTGATGACAAAACTCCCTGTAGTTTGTGATGACAAATCTTCCTGTGGTTTGTGATGGCACAGTCCCCCTGTAGATTGTTATGGCACAGTCTCCCGTAGTTTCTGATGACAAATCTCTCTGTAGTTTGTGATGACAAATCTTCCTGTAGTTTGTGATGGCACAGTGTCCCTGTAGTTTGTGATAGCACAATCTCCCTGTAGTTTCTGATGACAAATCTTTCTGTAGTTTGTAATGACAAATCCCCTTGTAGTTTGTGATGACACATTCTCCCTGTAGTTTGTAATGACAAATCTCCCTGTAGTTTCTGATGACAAATGTCTCTGTAGTTTCTGATGACAAATCTTCTTGTAGTTTGTAATGACAAATCTCCTTGTAGTTTGTGATGACACAGTCTCCCTGTAGTTTCTGATGACAAATCTCTATGTAGTTTGTGATGACACAGCCTCCAGTAGTTTCTGATGACAAATCTCTATGTAGTTTGTGATGACACAGTGTCCGTGTAGTTTGTGATGACACAGCTTCCCGTAGTTTCTGATGACAAATCTCCATGTGATTTGTGATAACACAGCCTCCCGTAGTTTATGATGACAAATCTCTATGTAGTTTGTGATGACACAGTGTCCATGTAGTTTGTGATGAGACAGTTTCCCGTAGTTTCTGATGACAAATCTCCCTCTAGTTTGTTATGACACAGTCTCCCATAGTTTCTGATGACAAATGTCACTGTAGTTTGTGATGAGACAGGATCCCGTAGTTTCTGATGTCAAATCTCCCTGTACTTTGTGATGACACAGTCTTCCATAGTTTCTGATGGCATATCTCCCTGTAGGTTCTGATGACAAATCTCACTGTAGTTTCTGATGACAAATCTCCTTGTAGTTTCTGATGACAAGTCTCCCTGTAGTTTCTGATGACAAATCTCCTTGTAGTTTCTGATGACAAATGTCACTGTAGTTTCTGATGACAAATCTCCTTGTAGTTTCTGATGACAAATCTCCCTGTAGTTTCTGATGACAAATCTCCTTGTAGTTTCTGATGACAAATGTCACTGTAGTTTCTGATGACACAGTTTAACTGTAGTTTGTGATGACAAATGTCACTGTAGTTTGTGATGAGACAGACTCCCGTAGTTTCTGATGACAAATCTCCCCGTAATTTGTGATGACACAGTCTCCCTGTAGTTTGTTTACAATTTTGTTGGGATGCGGGTACTTATATGAGATGAAGCTCATTGTCAACAAAGTATCCGATGATTTCAGTATGTGCGTGTTGACCCCATAACTGACCTCAGTGATATCTGGACCATCCTAACAGACTTGTGGGACTTGCCCATTCCAAAGCTGATCATCTCAGTCACAGGCGGTGCCAAGAGGTTTGACTTGAAGCCAAGACTACGTAAACTGTTGAAAGAGGGTCTGTGCCATGCTGCAGCAAGTACAGGTAATGTAACAGGCTGTAGTATAGTCAGTCTCACCCTACAACCTCACCCTACAGCCAGTACAAGTAGTTATAATGTAACATGCTGCAGTATAGTCAGTTTCACCCTACAGCCAGTTGAGGCTGTTATAATGTAACATGCTGTAGTATAGTCAGTCTCACCCTACAACCTCACCCTACAGCCAGTAGAAGAAGTTATAATGTAACATGCTGTAGTATAGTCAGTCTCACCCTACAGCCAGTACAAGTAGTTATAATATAACATGCTGCAGTATAGTCAGTTTCACCCTACAGCCAGTTGAGGCTGTTATAATGTAACATGCTGTAGTATAGTCAGTCTCACCCTACAACCTCACCCTACAGCCAGTACAAGAAGTTATAATGTAACATGCAATATCATAGTCAGTCTCACCCTACAGCCTCACCCTACAGCCAGTACAGGTACTTATAATGTAACATGCAGTAGTATAGTATGTAATGTAACAGGCTGTAGTATAGTCAGTCTCACCCTACAGCCAGTAAAAGCTGTTATAATGTAACATGCTGTAGTATAGTCGGTCTCACCCTACAGCCAGAAAAGTTAATGTAACATGCTGTAGTATAGTCAGTCTCACCCTACAGCCAGTAAAAGCTGTTATAATGTAACATGCTGTAGTATAGTCGGTCTCACCCTACAGCAAGTACAGGTAATGTAACAGGCTGTAGTATAGTCAGTCTCACCCTACAACCTCACCCTACAGCCAGTACAAGAAGTTATAATGTAACAGGCTGTAGTATAGTCAGTCTCACCCTACAGCCAGTAAAAGCTGTTATAATGTAACATGCTGTAGTATAGTCAGTCTCACCCTACAGCCAGAAAAGTTCATGTAACAGGCTGTAGTATAGTCAGTCTCACCCTACAGCCAGTAAAAGCTGTTATAATGTAACATGCTGTAGTATAGTCGGTCTCACCCTACAGCAAGTACAGGTAATGTAACAGGCTGTAGTATAGTCAGTCTCACCCTACAACCTCACCCTACAGCCAGTACAAGAAGTTATAATGTAACAGGCTGTAGTATAGTCAGTCTCACCCTACAGCCAGTAAAAGCTGTTATAATGTAACATGCTGTAGTATAGTCGGTCTCATCCTACAGCAAGTACAGGTAATGTAACAGGCTGTAGTATAGTCAGTCTCACCCTACAGCCAGTAAAAGCTGTTATAATGTAACACGCTGTAGTATAGTCGGTCTCACCCTACAGCCAGTACAGGTAATGTAACAGGCTGTAGTATAGTCAGCGTCACCCTAAAGCTAGTACAGGTAGTTATAATGTATCATGCTGTAGTATAGTCGGTCTCACCCTACAGCCAGTACAGGTTGTTTTAATGTAAAGTGCTGTAGTAATAGTATAGTCAGTCTCACCTTGCAGGAACTACAATATATATATCAAGTTAACAATGATGATCTCTTCTGATATTAATGAATTCTCTAAGTAAAATGTGTATATATATATATATATATATCTCAATATATATATACACATTTTACTTAGAGAATTCATTAATATCAGAAGAGATCATCATTGTTAACTTGATACATGTGCAGAGCATCTGAAAACAAGTAATTCCCCAGAAGCAAAACATCCCTATATGCCCTTACCACTTGATGCATTGTTATAAAGCTGGCTTTAGAAGATGTTCTTTTGTTACAATACACCTTACTGGCCAGTTGTGCACATGTTACAGAAAGGCCAAAGTACTTATTTTCTTAAACATCTTGTTGATGTGCAGGATATGTTATATTGTCAACAGCGAACAGTCAGTGTATGACCATATCACCATTCCACTTTGATGCACTGATCACTGTTTGGCTCCAGGTGCATGGATGATCACGGGGGGTACTTCAGCGGGGGTGATGGAGTTTGTAGGGGAAGCTGTCCAGGACTACACAGCGGCTACAGGCAACAACAACAAGGTGGTCGCTCTCGGCATCGCCACCTGGGGCATTGTCGCAAATAACTTCGCACTGGATGGTGAAGGAGTAAGTGTGTGATTTATACAGAAACATCTCCACCAGTGTGATGCCCATAGCATGTAGAAACATCTCCACCAGTCTGATGTCCATAACATGTAGAAACATCTCCACCAGTCTGATGTCCATAACATGTAGAAACATCTCCACCAGTCTGTCCATATGTCCATAGCATGTCCATAACATGTAGAAACATCTCCACCAGAAACATCTCCACCAGTCATGATGATGTCATAGCATGTAGAAACATCTCCACCAGTCTGATGTCCATAACCATAGCATGTAGAAACATCTCCCACCAGTCTGATGTCCATATGCATGTAGAGAAACATCTCCACCAGTCTGATGTCCATAGCATGTAGAAACATCTCCACCAGTGTGATGTCCATAGCATGTAGAAACATCTCCACCAGTCTGATGTCCATAGCATGTAGAAACATCTCCACCAGTCTGATGTCCATAACATGTAGAAACATCTCCACCAGTCTGATGCCCATAAACATGTAGATAACAACATCTCCACCAGTCTGATGTCCATAGCATGTAGAAACATCTCCACCAGTCTGATGTCCATAGCATGTAGAAACATCTCCACCAGTCTGATGTCCATAAGCATGTAGAAACATCTCCACCAGTCTGATGTCCATAACATGTAGAAACATCTCCACCAGTCTGATGTCTGATGTCCATAACATGTAGAAACATCTCCACCAGTCTGATGTCCATAGCATGTAGAAACATCTCCACCAGTCTGATGTCCATAACATGTAGAAACATCTCCACCAGTCTGATGTCCATAGCATGTAGAAACATCTCCACCAGTCTGATGTCCATAGCATGTAGAAACATCTCCACCAGTCTGATGTCCATAACATGTAGAAACATCTCCACCAGTCTGATGTCCATAGCATGTAGAAACATCTCCACCAGTCTGATGTCCATAGCATGTAGAAACATCTCCACCAGTCTGATGTCCATAGCATGTAGAAACATCTCCACCCAGTCATGATGTCCATAGCATGTAGAAACATCTCCACCAGTCTGATGTCCATAGCATGTAGAAACATCTCCACCAGTCTGATGTCCCATAGCATGTAGAAACATCTCCACCAGTCTGATGTCCATACTAGTCATAGTAGAAACATCTCCACCAGTCCCACCAGTCCATAACATGTATGTCCATAACATGTAGAAACATCTCCATCCAGTCTCCATGTAGAAACATCTCCACCAGTCTGATGTCCATAGCATGTAGAAACATCTCCACCAGTCTGATGTCCATAGCATGTAGAAACATCTCCACCAGTCTGATGTCCATAACATGTAGAAACATCTCCACCAGTCTGATGTCCATAGCATGTAGAAACATCTCCACCAGTCTGATGTCCATAGCATGTAGAAACATCTCCACCAGTCTGATGTCCATAGCATGTAGAAACATCTCCACCAGTCTGATGTCCATAGCATGTAGAAACATCTCCACCAGTCTGATGTCCATAACATGTAGAAACATCTCCACCAGTCTGATGTCCATAGTCTGATGTCATAGCTCCACCAGTCTGATGTAGTCCATAACATGTAGAAACATCTCCCCACCAGTCTGATGTCCATAGCATGTAGAAACATCTCCACCAGTCTGATGTCCATAGCATGTAGAAACATCTCCACCAGTCTGATGTCCATAACATGTAGAAACATCTCCACCAGTCTGATGTCCATAGCATGTAGAAACATCTCCACCAGTCTGATGTCCATAGCATGTAGAAACATCTCCACCAGTCTGATGTCCATAGCATGTAGAAACATCTCCACCAGTCTGATGTCCATAGCATGTAGAAACATCTCCACCAGTCTGATGTCCATAAGCATGTAGAAACATCTCCACCAGTCTGATGTCCATAACATGTAGAAACATCTCCACCAGTCTGATGTCCCATAACATGTAGAAACATCTCCACCAGCCATAGCATGTAGAAACATCTCCATGTAGAAACATCTCCACCAGTCTGATGTCCATAGCATGTAGAAACATCTCCACCAGTCTGATGTCCATAACATGTAGAAACATCTCCACCCAGTCTGATGTCCATAGCATGTAGAAACCCACTAGCATGTCCAAACATCTCCACCAGTCTGATGTCCATAGCATGTAGAAACATCTCCACCAGTCTGATGTCCATAGCATGTAGAAACATCTCCAGTCTGATGCCCATAGCATGTAGTCTCCACCATGTGTCCATAGCATGTAGAAACATCTCCACCAGTCTGATGTCCATAGCATGTAGAAACATCTCCATTTCCAGTCTGATGTCCATAGCATGTAGAAACATCTCCACCAGTCTGATGTCCATAGCATGTAGAAACATCTCCACCAGTCTGATGTCCATAGCATGTAGAAACATCTCCACCAGTCTGATGTCCATATCTCCACATGTGATGAAACATCTCCACCATAGTCTCTCCATGTGTCCAGTCTCCACCAGTCCCATGATGTCATCTCCATAGCCATGCAGAAACATCTCCACCAGTCTGATGTCTCCACCAGTCTGATGTCCATAGTATGTAGAAACATCTCCACCAGTCTGATGTCCATAGCATGTAGAAACATCCACCAGTCTGATCCACATCACCAGTCTGATGTCCATAGCATGTAGAAACATCTCCACCAGTCATCTCCACCAGTCTGATGTCCATGTCATGTAGAAACATCTCCACCAGTCTGATGTCCATAGCATGTAGAAACATCTCCACCAGTCTGATGTCCATAGCATGTAGAAACATCTCCACCAGTCTGATGTCCATAACATGTAGAAACATCTCCCACCAGTGTGATGTCCATAGCATGTAGAAACATCTCCACCAGTCTGATGTAGAAACATCCCATAGTCTGATGTCATAACATGTAGAAACATCTCCACCAGTCTGATGTCCATAGCATGTAGAAACATCTCCACCAGTCTGATGTCCAGTCTGATGTCCATAACATGTAGAAACATCTCCACCAGTCCATGATGTAGAAACATCCCACCAGTCTGATGCATAGTAGAAACATCTCCACCAGTCTGATGTCCATAACTGATGTAGAAAAACATCTCCACCAGTCTGATGTCCATAACATGTAGAAACATCTCCACCAGTCTGATGTCCATAACATGTAGAAACATCTCCACCAGTTTGTGCACAGCTGATTGTGACTTTCACTAACATCTCAGCTGTGCTGTAGAAACATCAGGACAGAGGTCTATTCCCCATGCATTGGAAACTCAAAAGCTAAATTTATGCTGTGGAGGATGTTGAGAGAAAGGGACAGTTCACAGTTATTCAGGAACAACACCCCTCGATCACAACCACACCCATTTCATCCTTGTGGATGACGGCTCTAACTGCAGGAAGTATGGAAGCCAGAGATCAAGTTCCATTTTGCTGTCAGCTATTCTACAGTTCTCCTTTATGATGCAGACTGGTCTACTGCATCAGCTCTTCTGTCATACCATCTATTCTATAATGCTGGATATTTTGTGCACAGCTATTGTGACTATTCACTAACACCAGCTGTGCTGTATTCAGGACAGAGGTCTATTCCCTGCTACCTATGCTGTGGAGGATGTTGAGGCCACAGGTTCAGGAACAACACCCCTCGATCACAACCACACCCATTTCATCCTTGTGGATGACGGCACTGCAGGGAAGTATGGGGCAGAGATCAAGTTCCTGGAGAGCTTCATCTCAAAAAGGTCGAGACTGGAGTGTCTGCGAGTCAGAGTGAGTCATGTTACATGCACTAGCCGCTAACAGATCAATGTGTCGTAAATCAGGTCCATGAGGTGCCAGTACAGTCAGGTTATGACTTTATGCTTCTACTCTGCCATGTATGATATGTTGGCTGCAGGTGTGAATGTCCCGAATGTGCTGATCGTAGTGGAGGGAGGCCTGAACACAATGCGGACTGTCCGTGAATCCATCCAGCGTAACACCCCAATTGTCGTCATCGAGGGTTCCGGGCGGGCGGCTGAGTACATTGCCCTCGGCTACAAACTCACAAGAAGCAAAGAGTGAGTATTCATGCAGAACTCTTGTATTGTCACCCTGCAGCATTCCTGAAAGACCTGTACAGTCACCTCAGTGGGGCTCCTTGAGGGGCGGTGGGGTAGCCTAGTGGTTAAAGCATTTATTTTTCCTTATCCTGACTCATGCTAAATGCTTGTCTCCTTCTTCTTGCGAATGATAGTGGAACACTTGAAATCCCTTAAAGTTCTCTTCTAAAAAGCGGACATAAAATCATCACTCACCCACGAGTAGTCTCCCTTGCCTCCTTTGGCGCCCTTTTGTGTCACATGACCAGCCATGTTTGTCACTCTCTCCTTCTTCACCCTTGAGGATTGTTGTGAGAGCACCTGGGTCCCTATACGGCACTTATCCTTTTCTATTTTGGACCTTTACATCAAATCAGACTACCTCGCCAGCATAGATCTACAAGATGCTTATCTACACATCCCGATACATCCAGACTCAAGGAAATACCTAGGATTCCTTTTCAACGGACATCACTTCCAGTGGAAGGTTCTACCGTTTAAAATATCGTCGGTCCCCTGGTTGTTTACTCAAATGACCAAGCCCATCGTCACATATCTACAGCATTGAGGTCTACGCAGTGCTTTTTACCTGGACGACGGAATTCAAGTTCATCAAGATCCCAGACAACTCAGACTGCAACTAGACTTCACCATCAGGCTTCTCACTCAGTTAGGATGGCTGGTAAATCTCCTCAAGTCGGAACTGGAGCCGAAACAGGATCTTCAATTTCTAGGAATACGACTCATCACGACTGTGAATCGCATAGTCGTCCCACAGGATCGTTGGGTCAAGATACAACATATGATATCTCAAGCAATGCTCTCGCCGTTGACACTACGTGCTTGGCAAAGCATGCACGGTCTACTCACCTCAGCTCAAGACATGACTCGCAGAGGGAGATTACAACAGCGCCCACTACAAATATTTGTGAACGCCCATCTCGACAGCCTGGATCCGCTGATACTACCGGACAGCCTGAAACCATAACTCCTATGGTGGACTCAGAAGTCGAATGTTTGCGGAAGAACCTTTTTGTCAGAGCTGGTTTGCAACACTCATCTCTACGTGGATGCATCACTACAAGGATGGGGTGCCCACCTCGACAACGAAGTGGCAGCAGGGAAGTGGTCGAGTCAGGATCAAATTCTGCACATCAACCTGTTGGAGATGAAAGCAGTGATCAACGCTTTACAACACTGGTCCAGCCTACTAAAGAACGCAAGGCTCATGGTCTACATGGACAACTCCACAGTAGCGTTCTACATCAACAAACAAGCATCAACAAGACCAACAAGTCTGCTACAACTCCTGATCAGCATCGTCGACTACCTCAACATCTACATGAAGGCATGTCACATTCCAGGAGCAAAGAATGTCATAGCAAACGCCCTATCTCGTCCACTACAACCATCCCTGACAGAATGGATGTTACATCCAGAAGTGTTCCGGTTCGTCATACAGACAATAGGATCTCCACTCATAGACCTGTTTGCAACAAAGTTCAACAAGCAACTACCAACATTCGTCTCACTGATTCCGGATCCTCAGGCTTGGGCAACAGATGCTTTAAGCATCTCATGGGAAGGACTAAATGCTTATGTGTTTCCACTTCCAGCACTATTACCACAAGTAATACAGAAAATCAAGCAGATGACAACGCTGCAACTGATTTTGGTCGCGCCCTATTGGCCAGCGAGGGTATGGTTTCCCGTCATCATACAAGAACTTGGAAGTCCAACCCTGAAACTACCAGAGTGGTCGAACCTGCTCGTCCATCCACACACCAAGCAAGCTCACGGGGAATCCGGCATTGTTCCAGCTACACGCGTGGAGCGTATCAAAGCTTGCCTGAAGACTAGAGGGTACTCCGCCAGAGCAGCGAAAGCAGTGACACTAGCTCTACGCAGATCAACTTGCCACTTGTACGACGATAAGTGGCTGAGATTTGAACAGTATGCAACGAGGAAAGGCTTTACAGCGGTAAAAGCGACCCATCCTCAAGTGGCGGAATACCTGTGTCATCTGCGACAGACGAGACACTTAAAAGGTTCAACACTCTCAACGTACCTGGCTGCTCTCAGCACAGTTATCACCATGAAGACGGGTGTCAAGCTGACCAAAGAACCAGAGATACTGGCACTACTACGCTCGTTGAAGTTGGATGACCAACGAAAGAAATTCAAGGCTCCTACCTTGGATCTCAACATAGTTCTATAACATCTCACCAGTGACGCCTACGAGCCTCTAGAACGGACATCCTTTGAACTACTGACACAGAAAACGCTGTTCCTGATCGCCCTAGCAACAGCAGCACGGATGTCAGAAATACATGCTCTGGACTTTGAACGAACACGATTTGAATCAAGACATCGTGACATCGTACATCTAGGACTGAGATGGGAGTTTATTGCCAAGAACCAACTGCCCGGCCAGCCTGACAGACAGTTCCACATCCCAGCACTCTCTACAGTCCTTGGGCCACAGGATACAAAGGATTTATCCTTATGCCCTGTCAGAACACTGAAAATCTACCTACAATGGACAAAAACATGGAGACGAAAATTCAAGTGCCTATTCATCCCCATTATCCACTGAGACGCCCACGGAAGTCTCCCGGACAACGATATTGGTATGGATGAGAGCCATTATACTAAGGGCCTACAAAGCAGCAGGACTTGAGCCTCACCGAGCCTCCAATCCCCACGAGGTCAGAGCCCTGGCGTCTACATTTGCTCTGCATGGAAACTGCTCGATTACAACAATAATGGAGGGCTGCTTTTGGAAATCGGACACGGTGTTGTTCCAACCACTACCTCAGAGACATTGCCACCAAAGACATCCCAGGCATTCACCAGATTGGGCCACTTGTTGTAGCACAACAATTAACGGTTCCACAAAGGCGCTGAGAAAAATCTCACCCTTTTATCACGTGACTTGTGAAAACCAACGCTCTGGAGAGTCCATGCACACGTCTAGGACAGGCTAGCATGAGTGATTAGGGCTGCATGGTATTACTGGTATACCTGTAAACCGCAATACGAAGATGTAACAATTACGTATCGCGATACGTTTATGACGTACCGGTATACCGCCAATGATTTATTTGTTCAATTTTAACCCATTCAACACCGCACATAACACTTCTGCCCGTACAACCCCTAAATTTTAATGGTGAGGAAAAAGCTATATATGTACATTCAGGTAATACAGGTGATGGTTGTGGGTGGGGATTGGGTGGAAGTCTTTCCAAATGATTTGTTGCTTAACATGTTCAGAATAGCATTATTGTACCCAAAACTTTTGTTTAAAAGTTTTCATTTATGAGGACAGTATCCATTGCTGTAATATGATTGAATTACGAGCATGATTTTTACCAATCACGAACCTTAAAGCAGACTGTGGCGAAAATGCGTCATTAGAAACCAATCTTTATCCAATAAAATCGCTTCTTACAACTGTGAAATACTCCTGACAAGGTTACTGTGATATTATTGATGATTAGAGCTTTGGAACAATACCCGCCTTCAAATGAATCTACTAGAGTGTTGTCCATACGGAGATTCGAAAACTGAAGCATTTCCCAGTGTTGTGTCATGTTACCGGGTGAAAAGCCACCATACATATTATTTGATTAATCTTTCTATAATAATTTTTCTGATTACGTAATAATGAAAATATTAAAGAAATAGGCAAGTGGTATTATGGCATCTTACAAATGGATTAAAATAGCGGGAGTTTACGTCTCCTTCATGGTTTATATGGACATTTTAAGTGTGTAAATTTGTATTACTATTAGAAGTGCTATTATTTGAATAATATGATAAACATACCTTTGGTATTTATCAGCAGGTGGATTAGACCTAAAAAAATTAAATAGTGTATGCATGGCAATAATGTTTCACGAGCTGATAGTTACCTTGATAAATAGAGGCTTCTATCTTATTATAAGGTTATGTTTCGCATGTTTCATTTTTTTTCATTATTCTATTCAGTCTAAAGAAAGTGTACTTTACCTGATACAGAGTGACTTTTGCCCATCGTGAGTGTTTTGTTAAATCATTTCTTTATGTGAATGTGTACCAAACGTCATTCATGAAATAGGTAATGTTAATAATACTTTTATTCAAAGACAAAGGTGCATAAATCATCGTTTTGATTAGAATGTGTACTTCAAGATCATGTCACATGATTGTGACTTCAATTAAATTTGTCTTGAGTAATACGGATGTGTACAGTAAATTCTTTAACTCTTTAAATTGTTTGAAATTCAACATCCTTTGCTGTTTAAAGAGGTTAAAGTATATAAATAGTATGGGTAGGTCGATGGAGGATGTGGTGTAAACTAGTTTCCGTTCAATTTGTCATATGAAATGAGAAATCATACTTTTATCTGCGTTAACTTTCCTTTGGACAGCAGTTACAATTAAAAGAAAGCTTTTTTAAAAAAAAATTTTATTGTAAAGCATAGGGCTAGTAATTTTTGGAAAGGACTAGTGACATACAAAATCCACTAGCCCAGAGGGCCAGTTAAAAAGTTTAGTCAGTGTCAATCCCTGCTGTTTTACAATTAAATATAAACAGAAGAATGTTCTGGATTTTCCTTTTTTCACTTTAAAAGAAGCTACAGAATGTACAATGGTTACTCACATATACTGTGATTCATTTTGAATGTAAAAGAATATTACCAAGTGGACAGATATCAATAACTGTTCTTTCACAATATATTGCAACACGTATCGCAATACAGAAGAGTGTATCGCAATATATCGCAATACAGAAGAGTGTATCGCAATATATCACAATACAGAAGAGTGTATCGCAATATATCGCAATACAGAAGAGTGTATCGCAATACAGAAGAGTGTATCGCAATATATCGCAATACAGAAGAGTGTATCGCAATATATCGCAATACAGAAGAGTGTATCGCAATATATCGCAATACAGAAGAGTGTATCGCAATATATCGCAATACAGAAGAGTGCATCGCAATATATCACAATACAAAATTTGGGGCAATACACAGTCCTATGAGTGATAGACCCTGTACTTGTATAGGACATACTTGTACATGAAGAAGGGTCGCATCTCCACTTGGGCACTCTCAGGGCACTCTGGATTTCCCTGTAAATCCGGGTGTCAGGCATACATACGGAGAGAGTGACAAACATGACTGGTCATGTGACACAAAAGGGCGCCAAAGGAGGCAAGGGAGACTACTCATGGGTGAGTGATGATTTTATGTCCGCTTTTTAGAAGGGATCTTTAAGGGATTTCAAGTGTTCCACTATCATTCGCAAGAAGAAGGAGACAAGCATTTAGCATGAGTCAGGATAAGTATAAAATATCAATTTTACATGCTTCTCGCGCTGAAGAACCGGGTTCGATTCCCCACATGGGTACAATGTGTGAAGCCCATTTCTGGTGTCCCCCACCGTGATGTTGCTGGAATATTGCTAAAAGTGGCGTAAAACTAAAACTCACTCCCTCACTGAGGCTCCTTGAAGAACCATCCACTACCTGTATAGTCACCTCACTAGGGCTCCTTGAAGAACTATCCAATACCTGTATAGTCACCTCACTAGGGCTCCTTGAAGAACTATCCAATACCTGTATAGTCACCTCACTAGGGCTCCTTGAAGAACTATCCAATACCTGTATAGTCACCTCACTAGGGCTCCTTGAAGAACTATCCAATACCTGTATAGTCACCTCACTAGGGCTCCTTGAAGAACCATCCAATACCTGTATAGTCACCTCACTAGGGCTCCTTGAAGAACTATCCAATACCTGTATAGTCACCTCACTAGGGCTCCTTGAAGAACTATCCAATACCTGTATAGTCACCTCACTAGGGCTCCTTGAAGAACTATCCAATACCTGTATAGTCACCCAATACTAGGGCTCCTTGAAGAACTATCCAATACCTGTATAGTCACCTCACTAGGGCTCCTTGAAGAACCATCCAATACCTGTATAGTCACCTCACTAGGGCTCCTTGAAGAACTATCCAATACCTGTATAGTCACCTCACTAGGCTCCTTGAAGAACTATCCAATACCTGTATAGTCACCTCACTGGGGCTCCTTGAAGAACTATCCAATACCTGTATAGTCACCTCACTAGGGCTCCTTGAAGAACTATCCAATACCTGTATAGTCACCTCACTAGGGCTCCTTGAAGAACTATCCAATACCTGTACAGTCACCACCACTAGGGCTCCTTGAAGAACCATCCAATACCTGTATAGTCACCTCACTATCCTTGAAGAACTATCCAATACCTGTATAGTCACCTCACTAGGGCTCCTTGAAGAACCATCCAATACCTGTATAGTCCTCACTAGGGCTCCTTGAAGAACTATCCAATACCTGTATAGTCACCTCACTAGGGCTCCTTGAAGAACCATCCAATACCTGTATAGTCACCTCACTAGGGCTCCTTGAAGAACCATCCAATACCTGTATAGTCACCTCACTAGGGCTCCTTGAAGAACTATCCAATACCTGTATAGTCACCTCACTAGGGCTCCTTGAAGAACTATCCAATACCTGTATAGTCACCTCACTAGGGCTCCTTGAAGAACCATCCCTCATACTCTGTACTATAGTGTACCTCACTAGGGCTCCTTGAAGAACCATCCAATACCTGTATAGTCACCTCACTAGGGGCTCCTTGAAGAACTATCCAATACCTGTATAGTCACCTCACTAGGGCTCCTTGAAGAACCATCCAATACCTGTATAGTCACCTCACTAGGGCTCCTTGAAGAACTATCCAATACCTGTATAGTCACCTCACTAGGGCTCCTTGAAGAACTATCCAATACCTGTATAGTCACCTCACTAGGGCTCCTTGAAGAACTATCCAATACCTGTATAGTCACCTCACTAGGGCTCCTTGAAGAACCATCCAATACCTGTATAGTCACCTCACTAGGGCTCCTTGAAGAACTATCCAATACCTGTATAGTCACCTCACTAGGGCTCCTTGAAGAACTATCCAATACCTGTATAGTCACCTCACTAGGCTCCTTGAAGAACCATCCAATACCTGTATAGTCACCTCACTAGGGCTCCTTGAAGAACTATCCAATACCTGTATAGTCACCTCACTAGGGCTCCTTGAAGAACCATCCAATACCTGTATAGTCACCTCACTAGGGCTCCTTGAAGAACTATCCAATACCTGTATAGTCACCTCACTAGGGCTCCTTGAAGAACTATCCAATACCTGTATAGTCACCTCACTAGGGCTCCTTGAAGAACTATCCAATACCTGTATAGTCACCTCACTAGGGCTCCTTGAAGAACTATCCAATACCTGTATAGTCACCTCACTAGGGCTCCTTGAAGAACTATCCAATACCTGTATAGTCACCTCACTAGGGCTCCTTGAAGAACTATCCAATACCTGTATAGTCACCTCACTAGGGCTCCTTGAAGAACTATCCAATACCTGTATAGTCACCTCACTAGGGCTCCTTGAAGAACTATCCAATACCTGTATAGTCACCTCACTAGGGCTCCTTGAAGAACTATCCAATACCTGTATAGTCACCTCACTAGGGCTCCTTGAAGAACTATCTTTGTGGAACAAGTCCCTGACCCGTGAAGATCCGGGTTAGAATTGATCTTCAGTAAGAGGCGCCTAATGGGACCGGGTGGTCAGGCTCACTTACTTGGTATCCCAATTGCATAGATGGATGCTCTTGCTGGTGATCTCTGGATTGTCTGGTCCAGACTCAAAGTATTTACAGACCACTGCCATATTGCTGGAATATTGCTGGAATATTGCTGAGTGTGGCGTAAAACTAAACTCACTAAATCACACACTTCTTGAAGACGTGTCCAGTCACCTCAGTAGAATTTGCTGTAGGGAATACACACACCATGAAGAATACATCAACAAACCATACACTATCTGTAACAAGTAGTGAACAACCCATGGATGATAAATGATCAGTACATTCAATCTGACCAAAGATGTGTATATATTTTCAGTGAGGAGAAGACCTCCTTTCCCCGAGACTTCAATGAGATTATGATGGAGAAAGCTCATAAGATGTTTGTGTGGAAGCCAACTGACACCGAAGTGGACAAGAAGATTCAAGATTGTCTGCACAACCTCAAGTACTGCTTGGAACACCGCAGACTGGTCAGTTTGTTCACCACCTGTTGACCGATTCTCACATGTCAGATCTCACATTCTATGTGTGTTAGCTGACATACATGTTGGTGATCTAACCGTGACCGCATCATGCATGTCTTGATTGTTGTTTGGAGCGTTGGGGTAGCCCAGTGGTTCAAGCGTTCGCTTGTCACACCGAAGGCCCGGGTTTGATTCCCCACATGGGATACATTGCATGAAGCCCATTACTGGTGTCCCCCGCCGTGATATTGCTGAAATATTGCTAAAAGCAGTGTGATATTGCTGGAATATTGCTAAAAGCAGCGTAAGACGCAACTCACTCACTCACTGATTGTTGTTATAATGATAACTGTAGAACTCTTGAGGGTGTTTGAAAGTAATATTATGTCAAGTTTTGTTATTCAGATTGTCTTACTGATGTACAGCTTTATCTCTCTTTCTACAGGTAAACGTGTACAACTTGGAGAATGCTGCATCCATCCGAGACATTGACCGAGCTATTCTGTATGCTCTGTTGAAGGGTAAGAAGCCATTACAATCCTACTACAGCCAATACTGAATCTAGCACAAGTTCTGTCAGAATTCTACTGGTTTTGTCTCCATCTAAGTATCCAGGACAGACTCATAGTTTCAGTGTCGTCCCAGTGCCCATTTCCCGCCTTCCTCAGCACAGAATTCCTCTCACTTACAAGCAGGGATTCAACAAACATAATGACATCTGATATTTAGGCAGTGATTTACATCTAGATTTGGACCACATACAAACATACATGTGATGGAGCAGACGCTAATAAATGAACATTTGCCTGGGTATTAAGACAGGAGAGTAAAATCCTTCTCATGCAAAACATTCAAACATGAATGTGTGCCAGTCAGTGGAGTACTTGTTATGTTGCCAGTTGTTGTTTCAGTTATGAAAGAACTGTGTAATTTGACTGGACAGGTATCTTTAGCAGTGTGTAATGAGAGCTAGAGTATGCCAGTGAAACTGCATAATAGGTGGAGAGAATGTATGGGACTGGACTGGAAGTGATGTACACAGGATACCTGGGGATGATGTCTCCAGATAGGTGTACGTCTACAACACTGTTGTTATGAAGTAATGTGTGTAATGTGTGTACATCTACAACACTGTTGTTATGAAGTAATGTGTGTAATGTGTGTACATCTACAACACTGTTGTTATGAAGTAATGTGTGTAATGTGTGTACATCTACTACACTGTTAAGACGTAATGTGTGTAATGTGTGTACATCTACAACACTGTTGTTATGAAGTAATGTGTGTAATGAGTGTACATCTACAACACTGCTGTTGTGAAGTAATGTGTGTAATGTGTGTACATCTACAACACTGTTGTTATGAAGTAATGTGTGTACATCTACAACACTGTTGTTATGAAGTAATGTGTGTACATCTACAACACTGTTGTTAAGACGTAATGTGTGTACATCTACAACACTGTTGTTATGAAGTAATGTGTGTAATGTGTGTACATCTACAACACTGTTGTTAAGACATAATGTGTGTAATGTGTGTACATCTACAACACTGCTGTTATGAAGTAATGTGTGTAATGTGTGTACATCTACAACACTGTTGTTATGAAGTAATGTGTGTAATGTGTGTACATCTACAACACTGCTGTTGTGAAGTAATGTGTGTAATGTGTGTACATCTACAACACTGTTGTTATGAAGTAATGTGTGTAATGTGTGTACATCTACAACACTGCTGTTGTGAAGTAATGTGTGTAATGTGTGTACATCTACAACACTGTTGTTATGAAATAATGTGTGTAATGTGTGTACATCTACAACACTGCTGTTATGAAGTAATGTGTGTAATGTGTGTACGTCTACAACACTGCTGTTGTGAAGTAATGTGTGTACATCTACAACACTGCTGTTATGAAGTAATGTGTGTAATGTGTGTACATCTACAACACTGCTGTTGTGAAGTAATGTGTGTAATGTGTGTACATCTACAACACTGCTGTTAAGACATAATGTGTGTACATCTACAACACTGCTGTTGTGAAGTAATGTGTGTAATGTGTGTACATCTACAACACTGCTGTTGTGAAGTAATGTGTGTACGTCTACAACACTGCTGTTATGAAGTAATGTGTGTAATGTGTGTACGTCAACAACACTGCTGTTATGAAGTAATGTGTGTACGTCTACAACACTGCTGTTATGAAGTAATGTGTGTAATGTGTGTACGTCAACAACACTGTTGTTATGAAGTAATGTGTGTACATCTACAACACTGCTGTTATAAAAGTAATGTGTGTACGTCAACAACACTGCTGTTAAGACGTAATGTGTGTACGTCAACAACACTGCTGTTATGAAGTAATGTGTGTAATGTGTGTACATCTACAACACTGCTGTTTTTTAAAAGTAATGTGTGTACGTCAACAACACTGCTGTTAAGACGTAATGTGTGTACATCTACAACACTGCTGTTATGAAGTAATGTGTGTAATGTGTGTACATCTACAACACTGCTGTTAAGACGTAATGTGTGTACGTCAACAACACTGCTGTTAAGACGTAATGTGTGTACATCTACAACACTGCTGTTATGAAGTAATGTGTGTAATGTGTGTACATCTACAACACTGCTGTTAAGAAGTAATGTGTGTACATCTACAACACTGTTGTTAAGACGTAATGTGTGTAAATCTACAACACTGCTGTTATGAAGTAATGTGTGTAATGTGTGTACATCTACAACACTGCTGTTAAGAAGTAATGTGTGTACATCTACAACACTGTTGTTAAGACGTAATGTGTGTGATGTGTGTGCGTCTACAACACTGTTGTTATGAAGTAATGTGTGTAATGTGTGTACATCTACAACACTGCTGTTAAGACGTAATGTGTGTACGTCAACAACACTGCTGTTAAGACGTAATGTGTGTAATGTGTGTGCGTCTACAACACTGCTGTTAAGACGTAATGTTGTACATCTACAACACTGTTGTTAAGACGTAATGTGTGTACATCTACAACATTGTTGTTAAGACGTAATGTTGTACATCTACAACACTGTTGTTAAGACGTAATGTTGTACATCTACAGCACTGTTGTTAAGACGTAATGTGTGTACGTCTACAACACTGTTGTTAAGACGTAATGTGTGTACATCTACAACACTGTTGTTAAGACGTAATGTTGTACATCTACAGCACCCTCTCCATCACACACCCCATCACTCTCTCCATTACACCCTCTCCATCACACCCTCTCCATCACACTCCCCATCACTTTCTCCATCACACCCTCTCCATCACTCACCATCACAACCTCTCCATCACACACTTTCCATCACACCCTCTCCATCGTACTAACCCCATCACTCTCTCCATCACACCCTCTCCATCACACCCTCTCCATCACACTCCCCATCACTTTCTCCATCACACCCTCTCCATCACTCACCATCACACACTCTCCATCACACTCTCTATCACACCCTTTCCATTCCACATTCTCCATCACACCCTCTCCATCCCACGCTCTCCATCACACACTCTTCATCACACCCTCCATCACACCCTTTCCATTCCACATTCTCCATCACACCCTCTCCATCACACCCTCTCCATCCCACACTCTTCATCACACTCTCCATCACACCCTTTCCATTCCACATTCTCCGTCACACCCTCTCCATCCCACGCTCTCCATCACACACTCTCCATCACACCCTCTCCATCACACTCTCCATCACACCCTCTCCATCACTCTCCATCACACTCACCATCACACCCTCTCCATCACACCCTCTCCATCACTCTCCATCACACACTCTCCATCACAATCTCTCCATCACACTCTCTCCATTACACCCTCTCCATCACGCTCCATCACACCCTCTCCATCACACTCACCTTCCAATTCTCTGCTCATATTTCAGCCAACAAGTCTAATGCCAACTCCCAGCTGGCCCTGGCCCTTGCTTGGAACCGGTGTGACATCGCCCGCCAGGAGATCTTCACCCCCACCAACCGTAAACACTGGCAGGTAGGTCATGGTTCATCTTAGAGACTCGCACCCAACAACCATAAACCCTGCAGGTAGGTCATGGTTCATCTTGGGGACTCACACCCAACAACCATAAACCCTGCAAGTAGGTCGTCTCTCATCATGGGGACTCGCCATCACACCAACAACCATAAACCCTGCATAGGTCACTCACCATCGTGGACTCACACTCAACAACCATACCATGCACATCAACCCTGCATCAGGTCGTTGTTCATCTTAGTGACCACACCAACAACCATAAACCCTGCAAGTAGGTCCATCACACATCTTAGATCACTCACACCCAACATCACACCTCCCACCCTGCCATCACACTTGTTCATCACACAGACCACACCCATCAACCATCTCCATCACACCCACACCTCTCCATCACACCCTCTCTCATCAGAGACTCTCCATCACAACAACCATCACACCCTCTCCATCACACCCTCTCCATCTTAGACCCATCCGCACTCCATCCATCCACTCTCCCAACAATTCTCTGCTCATATTTCAGCCAACAAGTCTAATGCCAACTCCCAGCTGGCCCTGGCCCTTGCTTGGAACCGGTGTGACATCGTCCGCCAGGAGATCTTCACCCCCACCAACCGTAAACACTGGCAGGTAGGTCATGGTTCATCTTAGAGACTCGCACCCAACAACCATAAACCCTGCAAGTAGGTCATTGTTCATCTTAGAGACTCACACCCAACAACCATAAACCCTGCAAGTAGGTCACTGTTCATCTTAGGGACTCACACCCAACAACCATAAACCCTGCAAGTAGGTCGTTGTTCATCTTAGAGACTCACACCCAACAACCATAAACCCTGCAGGTAGGTCGTTGTTCATCTTAGAGACCCACACCCAACAACCATAAACCCTGCAAGTAGGTCGTTGTTCATCTTAGTGACTCACACCCAACAACCATAAACCCTGCAAGTAGGTCGTTGTTCATCTTAGAGACTCACACCCAACAACCATAAACCCTGCAAGTAGGTCGTTGTTCATCTTAGAGACTCACACCCAACAACCATAAACCCTGCAAGTAGGTCGTTGTTCATCTTAGAGACTCACACCCAACAACCATAAACCCTGCAAGTAGGTCGTTCATCTTAGAGACTCGCACCCAACAACCATAAACCCTGCAAGTAGGTCGTTGTTCATCTTAGAGACTCACACCCAACAACCATAAACCCTGCAAGTAGGTCGTTGTTCATCTTAGAGACTCACACCCAACAACCATAAACCCTGCAAGTAGGTCGTTGTTCATCTTAGAGACTCACACCAAACAACCATAAACCCTGCAAGTAGGTCGTTGTTCATCGTGGGGACTCGCACCCAACAACCATAAACCCTGCAAGTAGGTCGTTGTTCATCGTGGAGGACTCACACCCAACAACCATAAACCCTGCAAGTAGGTCGTTGTTCATCTTAGAGACCCACACCCAACAACCATAAACCCTGCAAGTAGGTCGTTGTTCATCTTAGAGACTCACACCCAACAACCATAAACCCTGCAAGTAGGTCGTTGTTCATCTTAGAGACTCCACACCCAACAACCATAAACCCTGCAAGTAGGTCGTTGTTCATCTTAGAGACTCACACCCAACAACCATAAACCCTGCAAGTAGGTCGTTGTTCATCTTAGAGACCCACACCCAACAACCATAAACCCTGCAAGTAGGTCGTTGTTCATCTTAGAGACCCACACCCAACAACCATAAACCCTGCAAGTAGGTCGTTGTTCATCTTAGAGACTCACACCCAACAACCATAAACCCTGCAAGTAGGTCGTTGTTCATCTTAGAGACTCACACCCAACAACCATAAACCCTGCAAGTAGGTCGTTGTTCATCTTAGAGACTCGCACCCAACAACCATAAACCCTGCAAGTAGGTCGTTGTTCATCTTAGAGACTCGCACCCAACAACCATAAACCCTGCAAGTAGGTCGTTGTTCATCTTAGGGACTCGCACCCAACAACCATAAACCCTGCAAGTAGGTCGTTGTTCATCGTGGGGACTCGCACCTAACAACCATAAACCCTGCAAGTAGGTCGTTGTTCATCTTAGAGACTCACACCCAACAACCATAAACCCTGCAAGTAGGTCGTTGTTCATCGTGGGAACTCACACCCAACAACCATTAACCCTGCAAGTAGGTCGTTGTTCATCTTAGAGACTCACACCCAACAACCATAAACCCTGCAAGTAGGTCGTTGTTCATCTTAGAGACTCACACCCAACAACCATAAACCCTGCAAGAAGGTCGTTGTTCATCGTGGGGACTCACACCCAACAACCATAAACCCTGCAAGTAGGTCACTGTTCATCTTAGAGACTCACACCCAACAACCATAAACCCTGCAGGTAGGTCGTTGTTCATCTTAGAGACCCACACCCAACAACCATAAACCCTGCAAGTAGGTCGTCGTTCATCGTGGGGACTCGCACCCAACAACCATAAACAGCCGACACGGTTACCTGTAACTAGAATTGACCTCATATTCACTTTTATTCACTTAATAACACAAACATGAAAAATTAACACATTTGAAAAAACATGAGACACTTTGGTTTGTTTCTTCTCAATTGACAATTCGATTTTCTCGGCGACGTTTTCTAAGTTTTTCAATGTGTGTCAGCAAGCACATCTCGCTAGACAAAGCGAAGTGCTTATTCAAGTGTTATTTAAATGCATAATTAATTTGTGGCAAAATACATCCCGCCATCACCTCTCCACATGCCGGATTAGAAAGTGTTCATTACCGTATAAACAGATGTTGGGGCGGCTCATTTCATGCCGAGATCCGGACTTGACAGCTGCCGGATTTGCAGAGCTAACTGATGATAAATGTACTAGCCACGGACGGGACTGAGATTTTATGCCAGTGTTGACAACTTGCCGTATTGGACAGCTGCTGGTTTTGACAGCTTCCACTATATGTTTGAATGAGACTGTGTTTTGATTCTGTTTTATTTGTACAGAAAATCAACTTATACGATGCAATGGTGACAGCCTTGGTTCAAGATAGAACTGATTTTGTTCAGCTGTTTATTGACAACGGTTTGGACATCAAACGGTTCCTGACAGTAAAGACTCTGTGGAATCTCTATGCTAATGTGAGTACTGACTATACCAGTGTATGAAATAAGGCCTGTTCGAACGCCCGAGACAATCTAGATTTCTGATGGATGGTCTATATTTACAGCTAGCCAGCCCGATGGTCTGGCCATAAATTTGATCTTCCATACATTTGAGTAAATTCACGATATTTTGTCTGGTTAAATCCATTTTGGGCTGGTAACATTTTGAAGTTACCAGCCCTGTTGTCTGGCTGGATTTTTGGCTTATTTCATACACTGACTATGCACTAGTCCTGTCCAGTTACTGTACACAAAATTAGCTTGGCCACTTCATCGGGGCACAGCTGGCCGAGATGTCTAAGGTTCCTTAAATTGGTGTGCACAACTGTGCCACTAGGGCACACAGGAAACCTATGATTGTTGGTTTAAGTCCCAGTTTGGCCAGATTATATTTCTGAGTTTGCAAATCTCATGCTCATGCCCATGGGCTTCACCAAACCCACTCACTAACTCACTCACTTCAGGTAATAGCCAACCAAGTATATCATCCGGGAGTTAGCCTAGCCAGGATGTTGTACCAAGACTAGCCAATATAGTGTGTACCAGCAGGAAGACTAGCCAATATAGTGTGTACTAGCAGAAGACTAGCCAATATAGTGTGTACCAGCAGGAAGACTAGCCAATATAGTGTGTACCAGCAGGAAGACTAGCCAATATAGTGTGTACCAGCAGGAAGACTAGTAAATATGGTGTGTACCAGCAGGAAATAGCAGGAAGACTAGCCAATATAGTGTGTACCAGCAGGAAAACTAGCCAATATAGTGTGTACCAGCAGGAAGACTAGCCAATATAGTGTACCAGCAGGAAGACTAGCCAGTATATTGGATACCAGGGTTAGCCTAGCCAGTAGAGTGATCAGGAGGTAGGCTAGTCAGTATTTTGTGTAGCAGGAGGTAGGCCAGCCAGTACTTTGTGTAGCAGGAGGTAGGCCAGTCAGTATTTTTGTAGCAGGAGGTAGGCCAGCCAGTACTTTGTGTAGGCTAGTCAGAATGTTGTTCTATGGCCTATACATTGTTTCTGCAGATGATCAACGACATGGGGGACACCCAGGCAGAGCTCATCAGGAACCTACTGGCCCACCAACGGGTGAGTCAGCTCCACACATCTTGACAGAGTCTCAACTATTGTACACATTTCAGCTCAGGATTGTTCTTGTCTTTATATTTCACCAATACCACTGACGTCCTTTCATTGTGTGACAAAAGTTTTGATTTCAAAAGTTTTGAAAAGAAATTTTCAACTGAAGACTTCCACTTGTTGCAGCAAACTTGGGCAGCCTATTTGTGTTGTCAAGGAGCAACTAGATGGGAATACTGCCCCGATCTCCTCAAGTTCGTTGGCAAGATCATTATGTATCTCCTCCAGGACCAAGCCATGCTATTGTATCATGGTAAGTAACATCATCTGTAGTAGACATCTGTAGTAGACATCTGTAGTAGACATCAGGCTCTATGCTATTGTATCATGGTAAGGAACATCATCTGTACTAGACATCTGTAGTAGACATCTGGCTCTGTGCTATTGAATCATGGTAAGGAACATCATCTGTAGTAGACATCAGGCTCTATGCTATTGTATCATGGTAAGTAACATCATCTGTAGTACACATCAGTAGTAGACATCAGGCTCTATGCTATTGTATCATGGTAAGTAACATCATCTGTAGTACACATCTGGCTCTGTGCTATTGTATCATGGTAAGGAACATCATCTGTAGTAGACATCTGTAGTAGACATCAGGCTCTATGCTATTGTATCATGGTAAGGAACATCATCTGTAGTACACATCACTAGTAGACATCAGGCTCTATGCTATTGTATCATGGTAAGTAACATCATCTGTAGTAGACATCAGGCTCTATGCTATTGTATCATGGTAAGGAACATCATCTGTAGTAGACATCTGTAGTAGACATCAGGCTCTATGCTATTGTATCATGGTAAGTAACATCATCTGTAGTACACATCAGTAGTAGACATCAGGCTCTATGCTATTGTATCATGGTAAGTAACATCATCTGTAGTACACATCTGGCTCTGTGCTATTGTATCATGGTAAGGAACATCATCTGTAGTAGACATCTGTAGTAGACATCAGGCTCTATGCTATTGTATCATGGTAAGGAACATCATCTGTAGTAGACATCACTAGTAGACATCAGGCTCTATGCTATTGTATCATGGTAAGTAACATCATCTGTAGTAGACATCATGCTGTTGTATCATGGTAAGGAACATCATCTGTAGTAGACATCTGTAGCTCATCTGGCTCTGTGCTATTGTATCATGGTAAGGAACATCATCATAGACATCTGTAGTAGACATCAGGCATGCTATTGGCATGGTATGCATCATCTGTAGTCATGCTCTATGCTATTGTATCATGGTAAGGAACATCATCTGTAGTAGACATCTGTAGTAGACATCTGGCTCTGTGCTATTGTATCATGGTAAGGAACATCATCTGTAGTAGACAACAGGCTCTATGCTGGTGTATCATAGTAAGGAATATCATCTGTAGTAGACATCAGTAGTAGACATCTGGCTCTGTGCTATTGTATCATGGTAAGGAACATCATCTGTAGTAGACATCAGGCTCTGTGCTATTGTATCATGGTAAGGAACATCATCTGTAGTAGACATCTGTAGTAGACATCTGGCTCTGTGCTGTTGTATCATGGTAAGTAACATCATCTGTAGTAGACATCTGTAGTAGACATCTGGCTCTGTGCTATTGTATCATGGTAAGGAACATCATCTGTAGTAGACAACAGGCTCTATGCTGGTGTATCATGGTAAGGAACATCATCTGTAGTAGACATCTGTAGTAGACATCTGGCTCTGTGCTATTGTATCATGGTAAGGAACATCATCTGTAGTAGACAACAGGCTCTATGCTGGTGTATCATAGTAAGGAATATCATCTGTAGTAGACATCTGTAGTAGACATCTGGCTCTGTGCTATTATATCATGGTAAGGAACATCATCTGTAGTACACATCAGTAGTAGACATCTGGCTCTGTGCTATTGTATCATGGTAAGGAACATCATCTGTAGTAGACATCAGGCTCTGTGCTATTGTATCATGGTAGGGAACATCATCTGTAGTAGACATCTGTAGTAGACATCTGTAGTAGACATCAGGCTCTATGCTATTGTATCATGGTAAGGAACATCATCTGTAGTAGACATCTGTAGTAGACATCTGGCTCTGTGCTGTTGTATCATGGTAAGTAACATCATCTGTAGTAGACATCTGTAGTAGACATCTGGCTCTGTGCTATTGTATCATGGTAAGGAACATCATCTGTAGTAGACAACAGGCTCTATGCTGGTGTATCATGGTAAGGAATATCATCTGTAGTAGACATCTGTAGTAGACATCTGGCTCTGTGCTATTATATCATGGTAACATCATCTGTAGTAGACATCTGTAGTAGACATCTGGCTCTGTGCTATTGTATCATGGTAAGGAACATCATCTGTAGTAGACATCTGTAGTAGACATCAGGCTCTATGCTGGTGTATCATGGTAAGTAACATTCTCTGTAGTAGGGCGGTGGGGTAGCCTAATGGTTAAAGCGTTGGCTCGTCATGCCGAAGACCCGGGTTCGAATCCCCACATGGGTACAATGTGTGAAGCCCATTTCTGGTGTCCCCTGCCGTGATGTTGCTGGAATATTGCTAAAAGCGGCGTAAAACCAAATTCAGTCAGTCATCTGTAGTAGACATCAGGCTCTATGCTTTTGTATCATAGTAAGGAACATCTGTAGTAGACATCAGGCTCTATGCTGGTGTATCATGGTAGGGAACATCATCTGTAGTTGACATATGGCTTTATGCTGGTGTATCATGGTAGGGAACATCATCTGTAGTAGACATCTGTAGTAGACATCAGGCTCTATGCTGGTGTATCATGGTAAGGAACATCATCTGTAGTAGACATCAGGCTCTATGTTGGTGTATCATGGTAGGGAACGTCATCTGAAGTAGACATCTGTTGTAGGCATCAGGCTCTATGTTGGTGTATCATGGTAAGGAACATCATCTGAAGTAGACATCTGTTGTAGACATCAGGCTCTATGTTGGTGTATCATGGTAGGGAACATCATCCGTAGTAGACAACAGGCTCTATGCTGGTGTATCATGGTAAGGAACATCATCTGTAGTAGACAACAGGCTCTGTGCTGGTGTATAATGGTAGGGAACATCATCTGTAGTAGACAACAGGCTCTGTGCTATTGTATCATGGTAGGGAACATCATCCGTAGTAGACAACAGGCTCTATGTTGGTGTATCATGGTAGGGAACATCATCTGTAGTAGACAACAGGCTCTATGCTGGTGTATCATGGTAGGGAACATCATCTGTAGTAGACAACAGGCTCTGTGCTATTGTATCATGGTAAGGAACATCATCCGTAGTAGACAACAGGCTCTATGTTGGTGTATCATGGTAGGGAACGTCATCTGAAGTAGACATCTGTAGTAGGCATCAGGCTCTATGTTGGTGTATCATGGTAAGGAACATCATCTGAAGTAGACATCTGTTGTAGACATCAGGCTCTATGTTGGTGTATCATGGTAGGGAACATCATCCGTAGTAGACAACAGGCTCTATGCTGGTGTATCATGGTAAGGAACATCATCTGTAGTAGACAACAGGCTCTGTGCTGGTGTATAATGGTAGGGAACATCATCTGTAGTAGACAACAGGCTCTGTGCTATTGTATCATGGTAGGGAACATCATCCGTAGTAGACAACAGGCTCTATGTTGGTGTATCATGGTAGGGAACATCATCTGTAGTAGACAACAGGCTCTATGCTGGTGTATCATGGTAGGGAACATCATCTGTAGTAGACAACAGGCTCTATGTTGGTGTATCATGGTAGGGAACATCATCTGTAGTAGACAACAGGCTCTATGCTGGTGTATCATGGTAGGGAACATCATGTGTAGTAGACAACAGGCTCTATGCTGGTGTATCAGGGTAGGGAACATCATCTGTAGTAGACAACAGGCTCTATGTTGGTGTATCATGGTAGGGAACATCATCTGTAGTAGACAACAGGCTTTATGCTGGTGTATCATGGTAGGGAACATCATCTGTAGTAGACATCAGGCTCTATGTTGGTGTATTGTAGTAAGAAACATTGCTGTCATTGCTAGACATCATATATTGCTGTATCATCAGGATTTATTGTAATTCAGCCATGCTGCAGTTTTCAATAATGTGAGTTAATTTTCTCTACAGAAACAAAGTATGTGGTAACTGTTAAGAGGCCATCTATGTCATGGCTGGGAGATCCTGGCACCATCAAACCACTGATGAAGAGGATCACCCAGGAAGGTGTGTAAACAAATCTTACTTTGACACCAGCGCCTGACTCACTGTTCCTCAATCCCTGAGACCCTCGCGGGGACCACTGAGTCTGATACCCTCCCCTAGGACTGTCACCCTCCCCTGGACACCTGAGACTGACACCAACCTGAGTCTGACACCCTCCTGCTCGACACCTGAGTCTGATACCTTCCCCTGGAGACCTGAGACTGACACCCACCCATGAACACCTGAGTCTGACACTTTCCCCTGAACACCTGAGACTGACACCAATCCCTTGACACCTGAGTCTGACACCCATCCCTGGACACCTGAGTCTGACACCTGAGACTGACACCCACCCATGAACACCTGAGTCTGACACTTTGCCCTGGACACCTTCCTCTGACACTTTCCCCTGGACACATGAGACTGACACCTTCCCCTGGACACCTGAGACTGACAGCCTTCCCTGGACACCTGAAACTGATATCATTCCCTGGACACCTTCCTCTGGACACCTGAGACTCACCCTTCCCTGTCACCTGAGACTGTTACCCTCCCCTGTACACTCAAGACTGATTCCTTCCTCTGGACACGTGAGTGTGACACCTTACCCTGGACACATGAGACTGACACCTTCCCCTTGACACTTGAGACTGACAGGCTTCTCTGGACACCTGAGTCTGACACCTTCCCCTGGACACCTGAGACTGACGCGTTCCTCTGGACACCTGAGTATGACTTCCGTGGACACTTGAGACTGACACCCTCCCCAGGACACCTGAAACTGATATCCTTCCCTGGACACCTGAGACTGACACCTTCCTCTGGACACCTGAGACTCACCCTTCCCTGTCACCTGAGACTGATACCTCCCCTGGACACCTGAGTCTGACACCCTCCCCTGTACACTCAAGACTGACTCCTTCCTCTGGACACCTGAGTGTGACACCTTCCCCTGGACACTTGAGACTGACACCCAGCCCTGGACACCTGAGACTGACACCAACCCGTGGACACCTGAGTCTGACATCTTCCCCTGGACACCTGAGACTGACACCCACCCGTGGACACCTGAGTCTGACATCTTCCCTTGGACACCTGAGACTGACACCCTTCCCTGGACACCTCAGGCTGACAAACCCCTGGATACATGAGACAGTCACACACCCCTGGACACCTGAGACGGACACCCTCCCTGGGACACCAGAGACTGACACCCTCCCATGGTCACCCAAGATTGACACCCCCCAGGACACCCAAGATTGACACCCTCACCTGGACACCTGAGACTGACACCCTCCCCAGGACACCCAAGATTGACACCCTCCCCTGGACATCTGAGACTGACATCCTCCCCTGGGCACTCGAGACTGACACCCCAAATATCAACACGCAAAAGTGAAAACAACACCCTGATCTTATGTATTTGAATCAGATTTTGTCGTAACAAATTCCCATAAAATGATTTCCTTAAGATCTAATATTTTTCTCGATGTTGTTCAGGCCCTCAGATGCTAAGAGAAGGTAAGTAGCTTATGTCCTCTTCACGTTCAGGTTGGAAGTGTTTTACTCATTTCACGTTAACTTTTACATCTCTTGATTGTAACTGTCAAAAGTTTCTTTGAGAGGCATTTTTAGAAGTTGTGAAGATGAAGGAAAACTAAGGTCTATGGATAGTCAACTTCTTTATTGCAATGAGTGCGACGTTTCGGTGTAGGTACTAACACCGTTATCAAGCAAGTCATACAACAATTTGAAACAAGGAGAATATATATACATTGCTGCATAGTGAGTATATACAATTAACAAGGTTGATGTACATTGGATATTTGATAAGTGATTTCAGCAAAGGAGGTCGATGTACAGAGTGATTGATTGTGATTAGAGTTGAGTTTATACAATTGATGAGTTTGACATACAATGGCATGATAATAAGTAAGTAGGTTGAAGTACACTAGTTGTGCTTGCAAGCACAAAGGGGAGCGTGGAAGCCAGATGGACAACGGAGGTATGGAAGGGTTACTGGTGGTGGTCTTTGATTAGGTGGTGATAGGCTGAGGAGATGAAATAACCTTGATCACGATTCATGGTTGGATTGTGGAGTTGGATGTTTATGGCTTCAAGGAGTTTCCTAATTTTGTAGTCTTGTCGGTTGATTTCCAGGATATCGATGTTGTTCCATAGGATGGCATGGTCAGGGTTGGCTTGGGTGTGGTCAGCTATGGCGGATTTGGAGTCGTTTTTCTGGACTGACGTTTTATGTTCTTTGATTCGTAGTGGGAGTGGGCGGGATGTTTCACCAGTATAGAAGTCTCCACATTCACAACGAATCTGGTAGACTACTCCCGAGGGGAGTTACTACCTGTATAAACTCAGCTCTAATCACAATCAATCACTCTGTACATCAACCTCCTCTGCTGAAATCACTTATCAATATCCAATGTACATCAACCTTGTTAATTGTATATACTCACTATACAGCAGTGTATATATTCTCCTTGTTTCACTTGCTTGATAACGGTGTTAGTACCTACATCGAAACGTCGCACTCATTGCAATAAAGAAGTTGACTGTCCATAGAACTTAGTTTTCCTTCACTGACAAAGTTTAGCAACGATAATATGATGTTGATGATATAGTATTGTAGCATCAGGTCCTCGTGTGTTAACATTACTCACAGGTTGATCATTGTGATGACCTAACTCACACTATAACATGACTCCCCCTTCGATCAGTTGGATAGCCATACTCACACACTGACCAATGTTATGACTCGCCAGTACTACAGTCCGTTTGAGGCAAAATGATACCGATGAATTGCAATCTATCACAAAAACAAATAGACATAAAAGAATCAAACCAACGCGGACTGCAATAAAATCAACAGACCACCTCTAGGAAGATATTGCATAATTTGTGTCACAAAAATAAAAAATTGTCATCATTTCTTTGTGCGTTTTCTAAGTTTGTTACAAGGGCGCAGTGGCAACTAAAGGAACAGCCTGAAAAGCAAGATGCACATGCGTTAACGGGTTCTCAACAAATTTTTGAGCTGGCGAGATGACACGTACCCTAGCTGCACAGGCAGTGCACTGTATGTACTTAGTAATTGCATACTTCGTCACCCCCTGTCATTTTGTCCTTGAAGAAATCATAGACTTTGTAAATTATAGACTTTCATTATTTTCTCTCACTTTGTCAATCAGCAGTAATCACACGTCTCTGACGTCACTAATGCACGTGCATCTCGCTTTTCGCGCTGTTCCTTCAGTTGCCACTGCACCCTTTAAACAAACTTGGAAAACTCACAAATAAATTATGACAGTTTCTTAAACAACCTTTAGCCCGAAGCGGGTGATATAGTAGTAGGCTCTGTTCGTCCGTCCATCCGTCCGTCTGTGCGTACTTCCATACGTACGAACGTACGAATTGGAATATCTTAAGAACCGTTTACTAGATTCTTTTCATATTTGGTACCTAGGGTCATCACTGTAAAAGAAAGGTCCAAGTCAGGTTTGGTGACCTTGACCTTCATTTCAAGGTCACAAGGGGACGTTAACGTTTTACCTGCATCTCAAGAACCATTCCCTGGATTTTCTTCATATTTGACACCAAGCATTATCTGGGGAAGGTGCAGGGCCCAGTCAATTTTGGCAACCTTCACTTAATTTTCAGGGTCACAGAGACACTTTGAAGATTTCAGCATATTAACCTGCATGTTATGCTTGTCAGCGAGATGCCTGAAGAACAATTAACAGGAGTTTCTTCATAGTTGACACCAAGCTTTATCTAGGCAAGGCGCAGGGCCCAGTCGATTTTGGTGACCTTCACGTAATTTGTAAGGTCATGATGACACTTTGAAGATTTCAGCATGTTAAATTGCATGTTAGGATAGTCAGCAAGATATCGCAAAAATTATTCACTGGATTTTCTTCATATTTGACACCAAGCTTCACCTAGGGCAGGCCCAGGGCCCAGTCAATTTTGGCGATCTTCACATAATTTTCAGGGTCGCGACGACACTTTGAAGATTTCAGCATGTTAACCTGAATTGTCATCCAGATATTTCAAGAACGGTGCGCTGGATTTTCTTCATAGACTTTCAAGACTTCCCTTGAATGTTTTTCAATAAGCAGTTTCTTTAGTACTACTTTTGCATATTTCATACACTATGACATTCATGTCAAGGTCAAAGTCAGTCTTGAAATATGTGTGTGTTTGAACAACTAAAGAGCAAGATATCAAGAGAGGTTGACTGGTCATGTTTTTGTTGACATTTAACTTCATCTTAAACTTTCATTACTTATTAAGAAAGATTTGATAATTTGCAGCGGGGGATTATGTCACCTTAGTGACAATGCTTGTTTATTTTTGTGACACAAATTATGCAATTTTTTTTCTAGATTTGGTCTCTTCTTTTTATTGCAGTCCGCGTTGGTTTGATTCTTTTATGTGTATTTGTTTTTGTGTTAGGTTGCAGTTCATCGTTATCATTTTGTCTCAAACAGGCTGTAGGTGAACAGTAACATTGTGGCACATTATTGGGTGCCCTTGGAGGCAGCTAGACATGGATAGACATGGATCACATGTCAGCTTCACAATTCAGGATTGAATTAAACAACTCTGCAAATAGCCAGCTGACCGGATTACCTTTGTTGTTTGTGATTGAAATAAGCTGTGACTTTGGCTAGCCTTGTTGCACGTCCTCATACAGGTAGCTGTCAACAGCTGCATAAAGACATCCTTCATGTTACTGAGGAAGCATCTGAAACAGTACCTAATACTACCTTTCCTACCTTAGCTATAGTTAATGGTTTGCTTATACAGACCTTAAAGTTGAATGTGGACCTATTCAGGACTATCATTCAGATGAATCACTTGAGATGGAGGTGGTGAGGGCACCCCGGAATGGTGTTTGGGAATGTGTGCAGGATATTTATCATTAAAGGCTAGAAATATAATGCTCCAGTAAATGGGATGAGCACGTATAAGACATGTCAGTACATTCTCCTTCCTCAGAGGGTCACATCAGCCACAGGAGCAAACTCAAAGTCAGGGAAACATTTGAGTTCACCAACCCTGAAAAGCACCTGTTCCTCTGGGCCATCCTCTTCAACAGACGACAGATGGCAAGCCTCTTTTGGAAGCTGGGCAGAGATCAGCTCAGTAAGTAGTCTGCTTCAGGTCTTTGCAGATCTCCCCATTTGATTGAACTTGTGCACTTGTTGTAGAAAATCCAGTAGCTTGAACTCAGTAAATATTTTGATCCCCTCTGTAGGTTATAGATAGCCTCAGTTGGTTGAACATATCAACACATTGTAGATAGCCTCAGTTGGTTGAACATATCAACACATTGTAGATAGCCTCAGTAGGTTGAATTTGTTGACACATTGGATAGCCTCAGTTGGTTGAACATATCAACACATTGTAGATAGCCTCAGTTGGTTGAACATATCAACACATTGTAGATAGCCTCAGTAGGTTGAATTTGTTGACACATAGATAGCCTGACCACCTCAAGGACAAAATTCAATCCTTGCAGCATCAGGACTGGTGGCTTCCTCTCTGCTGAAGACGATGTCAGATGTTGCAGAGCATGATGAGGAGCTGGAGATGAGTGCTGACCTCCTGGACCATGCAGTGTGAGTAGGTCTACTCTTGTTGCTAGGTTACCCCTTGGGCCATGCAGCATGTAGGTCACAGAGTTATCCCCTCCTGTTTCTAGGTTATCCCTTGGGCCATGCAGCATGTAGGTCACAGAGTTATCCCCTCCTGTTGCTAGGTTACCCCTTTGGCCATGCAGCGTGTAGGTCACAGAGTTATCCCCTCCTGTTGCTAGGTTACCCCTTTGGCCATGCAGCATGTAGGTCACAGAGTTATCCCCTCCTGTTGCTAGGTTACCCCTTTGGCCATGCAGCATGTACGTCTCAGAGTTGTCCCCTCCAGTGAATGAATAATCAATAATAATTTCATACTTTTTTGTAGCCATTTCGAAAAGCAGTCATTTGATGTGCTTTCTGAATGTTACGGTCGAGACAAACGCCAAACCCACACACTGCTTGTGTGCGAGCAGAAGCAATGGGGGAAGACTACATTGTTCAAGCTGGCAGATGCCCACACTCTGATGGACTTCGCAGAACACAGCGCTTGTCAGACCAAGCTCAATGACATATGGAAGGGGAGGATGGCACTATACACTCCTGAGTGGAAGGTACACAACATAACTAGGGCTCCTTGCTGCAAAGCAGGAGACCTTTTGTAATCATTAATGTTTTTATTATTATTTATTATTCTGCCGTATTTTGTACCACTCGTACAAAAAGCACCGCTTGACAGAATCACTTGAAAAAAATCATCAAGGTGTCGACAGTGCTGAAGTTGTTTCTGCAAAAATCTCAAGGCTCTAGACCCAATAACAAAGGGCAGATAATTAATTAATTCAAAAATTTCAATTTCCAAAGCAATAATCTCCGCCCTCATGGGCACAATGTGTGAAGCCCATTTCTGGAGTCCCCCGCCGTGATATTGCTGGAATATTGCGACGTAAAAGTGACGTAAAACTAAACTCAGTCAGTCAGGCAATAATCTCCGAAAGTACAAGTCCAATGACTACCAAATTTCTGGAGCAGCTCTGGAATCCGATTACCTTCAATTTCAACTGCAGGATCCATGGGGCTACGAGGCACCGTTTGGCCTCCATATTGGATTGAAGGAAATTTCACGTTTTTGACGGGTAGGCATTTCCACTAGTCCGTATGTCATGTGTGTGTGCATCTGATAGCTGGAGCACTGGCAATTCCAGAACACTAATTGTTTTGACTGTAGACCCAAGGACAACGGAACTACAGCCTGTCAAAGAGGGAACTATTGCGTCTCCCGAAGTTTTTAAAAGGTACATGACCCCCACGACCCGGGCTGTATTTGGAAGGTTCGTTCGCGTGTGAAAAACATGTTCTTGCTTTCTTGCAACGGTTTCTAGCCTTTAAATCCACTTCAAACACTCGTAACTATGAGACCAACCGTCCGATTTCGACAAAAATATACTTGTGCAAGTGAAATTCTGTCTTCCTCACTGTAGTTGCTATCTTCATCGGTTCTCTAGGGAGTACAATGAAAGTTTGCAGTATGTATCTCAAAAGTTTGCTGATCATTTTCTGTTCTATGGTGCATGTTAAAAGTATCACCGTTTGGTAATGTTGGTCAGATGAAATTGAGATAACTGATGGAAGCGTTAGTAAAATCTGCCAACAAACCCCACTCGCTGGCTTTCCAATGCCGAAAGAGCAAATCCACTTTTGTTATCAGCTCAGTGTTCTGCTAATTATGGTTATAAGTGACCTGTTTATAGGTGTATATTTGCTTGCTCTGAAGTTCAGAAGTTCAGTTGCGACAGCGTGATAGTAAGAGTGTAATGAATATGAGCACTGACCATTGAAATATCTTACTTGCTGTGGATTGCATGATACAAAGTAATGGATACTAATATGGGCTCTATCGCCTCATGTCAACATTTCAATGCTACAGCCGTTGAAATATAAGCTGACATGGCACAAGAGCAGTATCAACTAACACCTTAATGTTGATCATGACTTGTCAGGCACCTCTATCGGCAGACAATGCGATAGAAGGTGAGCGTTCTTGATAGTAACAAAATGTTATGTCATGACTGTGTCGCACCATCACTTCTCCTGACAACAGCTGTCGATAGTGACGGTTGCGTTTGCGCCAGTTGTGAAACGGGCAAATAGAATTACAGTGGACTCTCTTTAGTCCGACATTCCCTGTAAACCGACATGTATATTTGGTCTTGAATTTGTCTCTACATAATATCATATAAAAAAACTCCCTCTAATCCGACATCCCTCTATTCAATTCTCTACACTCAAATCTGGTCCAAAAACATGTTTTTATGCAAATTGACTCTCTTTCAACCAACATTGTAACTTCACAAGAGATTGTATCAGTGAACACATGGGCGAGAGAGAGGTGGCCTACCAAGGCGAAATAGGATTGACAGTTAATTACTTGCTGATTTCTTCTTCAAAGGATTCATAGATTGGTGAAATCACATGTTAAGTGCTTGTTATGATTCACTGACACTGACTTTGACACTGAGATCATCTCTATTTAGCATGAGTATTGCCAGTGCCACAACACATATTATATTATAGTAAGAAGTCATAGTAAGTTACTGCACTACAAGTCAATGGCTACCCCACCTCCTAAGACAATAAGGACTGAGTTAACTCTAGATATAACTGTATATACTAGTAAACACACGTTTCGATGTTTCTGCTGGTGGACTGTTTTCAAGATTCATCATGAGCTCGGTAGGAATGTAAGTATGCTGAGTCAATACGGTCCTTGGTATTGTTTCTATATTTGTTGTTGAAAATAGATTACTGGAAACGCTTTGTTTTGTTGTTTGAGATAGACTAATGTTTTAATCCATATAATGTGAATCACAGTAAACAATTCTCATCATTTGATTGTAGTCACTTTCCAAAGCCACAACTGTCATTATCCAAACCATACGACACAATCCTTTGTATCTAACCCAGGACCAGAAGAATTCAAAGCTAATGAATGACGCATTTCCCCATTACCGACAGTGATAGCCATTACTGTAGCCATTACTACTTTCGATATCTACGTGGACAGGTACAAATGGCTAGATTGTATTATATCCAAGGAGCGCTCATCGCTGCTCGCAGCAATATTTTCTACTTACAATGAGTATAACATGTATATGTATTCACTGCAAGGTACTATCACATGCTGGATAGACAATGTGAACATGTTTACTGCTAAAATGTATATTATGTATTTGCTGCAAGGTACTCATCACATGCTGGATAGACAAGTTTCAACTGCAGTGCTAAAAGGTGGAACTCCAAAGGATAGAATCAGGAACAGTATTGTAGGTGGTCCTGTAGGTGTGAATCACAAGCAGTATTGTAGGTAGTCCTGTAGGTGTGCATCAGGAGCAGTATTGTAGGTGGTCCTGTAGGTGTGCATCACCGAAGCAGTATTGTAGGTAGTCCTGTAGGTGTGCATCAGGAGCAGTATTGTAGGTGGTCCAGTAGGTGTGCATCAGGAGCAGTATTATAGGTGGTCCTGTAGGTGTGAATCAGGAGCAGTATTGTAGGTGGTCCTGTAGGTGTGCATCACAGAGCAGTATTGTAGGTGGTCCTGTAGGTGTGCATCAGGAGCAGTATTGTAGGTGGTCCGTATTGTAGGTGTGCATCAGGAACAGTATTGTAGGTGGTCCTGTAGGTGTGCATCACGAGCAGTATTGTAGGTGGTCCGGTAGGTGTGCATCAGGAACAGTATTGTAGGTGGTCCTGTAGGTGTGCATCAGGAAGCAGTATTGTAGGTGGTCCTGTAGGTGTGCATCACAAGCAGTATTGTAGGTGGTCCTGTAGGTGTGCATCAGGAACAGTATTGTGGTGGTCCTGTAGGTGTGCATCAGGAGCAGTATTGTAGGTGGTCCTGTAGGTGTGCATCACGAGCAGTATTGTAGGTGGTCCGGTAGGTGTGCATCAGGAGCAGTATTGTAGGTGGTCCTGTAGGTGTGCATCAGGAGCAGTATTGCAGTGTGCATGTGTAGAGTGTCCGGTGGGTGTGCATCAGGAGTAGTATTGTAGGTGGTCCTGTAGGTGTCCATCAGGAGCAGTATTGTAGGTGGTCCTGTAGGTGTGCATCAGGAACAGTATTGTAGGTGGTCCTGTAGGTGTGCATCAGGAGCAGTATTGTAGGTGGTCCTGTAGGTGTGCATCAGGAACAGTATTGTAGGTGGTCCTGTAGGTGTGCATCAGAAGCAGTATTGTAGGTGGTCCTGTAGGTGTGCATCAGGAAGCAGTATTGTAGGTGGTCCTGTAGGTGTGCATCAGGAACAGTATTGTAGGTGGTCCCAGTAGGTGTGCATCAGGAGCAGTATTGTAGGTGTCCTGCATCAGGAGCAGTATTATAGGTGGTCCTGTAGGTGTGCATCAGGAGTAGTATTGTAGATGGTCCTGTAGGTGTCCATCAGGAGCAGTATTGTAGGTGGTCCTGTACGTGTCCATCAGGAGCAGTATTGTAGGTAGTCCTGTAGGTGCATCCATCAGGAACAGTATTGTAGGTGTGCATCAGGAGCAGTATTGTAGGTGTGCATCAGGAGCAGTATTGTAGGTGGTCCTGTAGGTGTGCATCAGGAGCAGTATTGTAGGTGGTCCTGTAGGTGTACATCAAGAGCAGTATTGTAGGTGGTCCTGTAGGTGTGCATCAGGAGCAGTATTGTAGGTAGGTGTGCATCAGGAGCAGTATTGTAGGTGGTCCTGTAGGTGTGCATCAAGAGCAGTATTGTAGGTGGTCCTGTAGGTGTGCATCAGGAAAGTGACTTGTGAGTATTGTAGGTGTGCATCAGGAGCAGTATAGCGAGCCCGATCCAGTCCCGGCCGATAAGCCCCGCCCCCCTTAGCTTTTTGACGTTAGGGGGACAAATCCACGGACTAATCACATCACCCGCCACGGTAAACGTGACGCGTGATTGTGAACGTTGTTGATGAATTCTGCTTGTTGTAATGCACGTTGGTATCCGGGCGCTTGTGAATGATATTTAAAGAGAGAAAGTTATATCGTGACTTTATTTTTAATATATTTTAGTTGACAGATTGTAATTGGCGAAAGTGAAAATGAGTATTGCATGCTTTCGATGAAAAATCGCCTCTCGGCCAGCTACTGAGTGTGGAACGTGTTTCTGGCGGTACCTATCTGGCAATTCTCACATCCGATCAAAGATATTAGCAGGGAAGCGGTAACAGAATTATGTTGTTTCGCTTTTTCTAAAAATTCCCATCGTAATATTACAAAAACCGTGAACACAGCCACATGTTCAAGTTGGAATCGTTTCGGTATCTATAAATAGATTGTCAAAACTTTATTTATTTATACGTGGTTCAAATTTAGTTAAATCAATAATGTGAAAAACATGGGTTTCTACCTTATTTGTCTATATTTGTAAACAAATAAATCACTGGATATCCTATTTGATCTTATTTGGGAATCTGGAAAAAGGTTTTTGGGTTTGTAAACAGTATGTTTTGCATGGATGTATCTGGACATACCCAGAAGCAAATTTTCAGGAGCTAATCTGCTAATTCTCAGTATATTTTCTCTCTTCAAAAATCTGTACACCATCCTAAAAATGACACTGAATATAAGAAAATCCATTTTAAATCATCCTTTCCAATATATTTTTCTATGTGTACTTTGTTGTGGTATCATAATTTACAAACTTCCACAATACCGGCTTCATGAACTGCCAGCATTTACATAAGGTATGTCACCACCACAATAACTGTGTAAAGAAGATCCAAGTCTTCACCTGTACACTGGACCTATCTTCCAGACATAGAAACCTGTGATGCAAAAATCTTTGAACAGGGGATCCACAGTTTATCAAACAATTAACTAGCATTGAAGTAGAATGTTACACAATACAAATATAAATATGCTTTTTCTTCATAGATATTTAACTACTAACTACTAATGTAAATAAGGTGTAAAAGAATATATCCTAAGTTCAAAGCTTTTAGGTAAATGAAATTACATATTGTCATTATTGGCTTCCTTAAACAATGATAATCTTTGTTTTATTAGATCTGAGACCATATCCCTAGGGACATAACACTAATTTTGATATATTCCCTTTTCTGGAGATACTTACTAGTGTTATCAAAAATATATTTAAGTTGTTTCTAAATTGGTAACAAAATAAAAGTTTAAGAAAACACACACATGAAAATGTCCTGGAAGCTTTCACCTCCTTCAAAACCAGTGTGCAATTTAATATAGAGCTCATTTTTTCAAATAACCATCCACAAACCTTGAAATCAATTTGTCCAAAAACCACCATCTTAATAAACACTACTTTGGCTCAAATGTCTTCAAATAATGGTAACCTCCTCAAAAGCTGATGATTTCCTAAGGAAGTTTTTACATCAAATCGTAGGATAAATATATGTTTCAATATTCATTCCAGTTACATGACTAGTCAACTACTGAAAATTTTGTAAAAGTTATTCTGTTCCAAAGACTGGAATAATGCCTGACCAGGAGTGTGACCTATTTCTTTTCACATTTTCGGGATGTTGAAATTTATAATCATGGAGCTTGATACTAGTAACTCATTTCTACAGAATAATCCAACTTTAAGTAAATATATTATTTAAAAATCCAAAGATATCTTTACAGCAGGAGCCAACAAACTAAGTTAATTATTAGCAGAGTGATTGTTCTGCCAGAAGTACGTATTTAGTGTTTGTTTGCCTTAGCTCTGCCTTAAATCCACATGAAACTGATATATGTCAGTCAATTAAGTAGTTATTTATAATTAATTATGTTATTATTTATTTTCATTACCTTTCCATCGTTTACTTAAGGATCTAGAGATTCTAAAAAACATGCCTTGCTATCATTTTCCAGTGAATTATAATTAAAAAACCCGGTTATATGTTATTACTCCTAAAATGTACCAGTGCGCCTCCCATACATGTTAAATAAATTATGTTGTAACAAAATTCAAAGAAATAATGTTCTCATAGTTAAGAGAAATACCCCTTTATTTCCTCCGTCCAATATTCCAGAAAAGTTTCACTATTCTTCTCACATAGTTTTCGTCTCTGATCCATGATGGAGTAACGTAATTCAATTCAAGGTCCCATCTCTTTATAAACATTCTGGAAATATTTATGGCATGGTTTTATAAACACTCATTTGAATTAATTTTGTTATTTGGATGTTGCCTGATAGGCAACTGCTGACACTGACTATGTTTCCGTTTGAATAAAAAAATATTATTTCTGGAATATTTTGCACTAATAACAGATACTGTACTGTAGGCTTTCAGATTGTGTTTTTGAAACTTTAAAACATCCTATAATGTGTGACAAATTTAAGAATATTTAAGAGGCTTATGGTAACAACATTCACCACATTGTTCTTTAATGTAACAAGTTCTGCTATTTCGATCGACCAGTGGCTTGAAATCAGATCGCTATCAGATTTAGTTTACATTGTGTCATGGCTTTCGTCTGTCTCATTTCAGCTTTATTGTGTACCAATTCAATGCCCAGTATTGACAAAACATGTTAAGCAAAAACAATTTTGTAGTTACAAGTATTGCCCGTGTTTTTAAATAACGCTTGCAAAGTCTTAAAGTGCTATTTGTTGTCATCTACTGGCAATGATTTTGCACATGTGCTTGAAAATGTGTAAATTCGTGCAAAATTCTCACCCACAAGCAGACGTAGGTTTTAAGGAGCGATGGTGCTGGCATTTCATTGATCGTGAGGCATATCAGCCCTTGATCCGGGCCTCAAATCTTTTGTCTCGACCGTAATGGTCGCGGTTAAAGGTACACATCAAATCGCAGCAATATGTAACAGATATAGCGAGTGTGAATAGCATAATCTGAAGCACATCGCTTCCGGTACCATCGATGACCCCGAAATAAGTGACAAATCCACAAAGTGCCGCCGGCCTGCTGATTGGCCAAAAATTGACGCATATCAGTTTTGTTTGACAGACTGGATCGGGTCTATTGTAGGTGTGCATCAGGAGCAGTATTGTAGGTGTGTGCATCAGGAGCAGTATTGTAGGGTGGTCCTGTAGGTGTGCATCAGGAGCAGTATTGTAGGTGGTCCTGTAGGTGTGCATCACAGGAGCAGTATTGTAGGTGGTCCTGTAGGTGTGCATCAGAGCAGTATTATAGGTGGTCCTGTAGGTGTGCATCAGGAGCAGTATTGTAGGTGGTCCTGTAGGTGTGCATCAGGAGCAGTATTGTAGGTGGTCCTGTAGGTGTGCATCAGGAGCAGTATTGTAGGTGGTCCTGTAGGTGTGCATCAGGAGCAGTATTGTAGAGTGGTCCTGTAGGTGTGCATCAGGAGCAGTATTGTAGGTGGTCCTGTAGGTGTGCATCAGGAGCAGTATTGTAGGTGGTCCTGTAGGTGTGCATCAGGAGCAGTATTGTAGGTAGTCATGTAGGTGAGCAGTATTGTAGATGTTCATCAGGAGTAGTATTGTAGGTGGTCCTGTAGGTGTGCATCAGGAGCAGTATTGTAGGTGTGCATCAGGAGCAGTATTGTAGATGGTCCTGTAGGTGTGCATCAGGAGCAGTATTGTAGGTGGTCCTGTAGGTGTGCATCAGGAGCAGTATTGTAGATGGTCCTGTAGGTGTCCATCAGGAGCAGTATTGTAGGTGGTCCTGTAAGTGTCCATCAGGAGCAGTATTGTAGGTGGTCTTGTGAGTGTGCATCAGGAGCAGTATTGTAGGTAGTCCTGTAGGTGTGCATCAGGAACAGTATTGTAGGTGTGCATCAGGAACAGTATTGTAGGTGGTCCTGTACGTGTCCATCAGAAGCAGTATTGTAGGTGGTCTTGTGAGTATTGTGGTAGTGTGCATCAGGAGCAGTATTGTAGGTGATGGTAATGTAGGTGTCCATCAGGAATCAGGAGCAGTATTGTAGGTGGTCCTGTAGGTGTGCATCAGGAGCAGTATTGTAGGTGTCCTGTACGTGTCCATCAGGAGCAGTATTGTAGGTGGTCCTGTAAGTGTCCATCAGGAGCAGTATTGTAGGTGGTCTTGTGAGTGTGCATCAGGAGCAGTATTGTAGATGATCCTGTATGTGTCCATCAGGAGCAGTATTGTAGGTGGTCCTGTAAGTGTCCATCAGGAGCAGTATTGTAGGTGGTCTTGTGAGTGTGAATCACAAGCAGTATTGTAGATGATCCTGTATGTGTCCATCAGGAGCAGTATTGTAGGTGGTCCTGTAGGTGTGCATCAGGAGCAGTATTGTAGATTGTCCTGTACGTGTCCATCAGGAGCAGTATTGTAGGTGGTCCTGTAAGTGTCCATCAGGAGCAGTATTGTAGGTGGTCTTGTGAGTGTGCATCAGGAGCAGTATTGTAGGTAGTCCTGTAGGTGTGCATCAGGAACAGTATTGTAGGTGTGCATCAGGAACAGTATTGTAGGTGGTCCTGTACGTGTCCATCAGAAGCAGTATTGTAGGTGGTCTTGTGAGTGTGCATCAGGAGCAGTATTGTAGATGGTAATGTAGGTGTCCATCAGGAGCAGTATTGTAGGTGGTCCTGTACGTGTGCATCAGCAACAGTATTGTAGTCGTGCATCAGGAACAGTATTATAGGTAGTCATGTTGGTGAGCAGTATTGACAGAGCCTTTAGTGGAGAGAATCTAGAGGAGGGTTGGGGAGGGATCAGGTACAGCATTGGGTGGATACTTTCAACCACTGGTCTGTTGGTCTCAACTTTATTCTTTACTTCTTATACAGATCATCATAACAATCCTGCTGCCCTTCCTGCTACCATTCATCAAGTTTACCAGCAACAACTCGGTGGTGGACATGCTGGATGGGAATGACAGCGATGATGAGGAGCTTGTGGATGACAGCCATACCCCAGGGCACAGCCCCGGACGGACAGCTGAGTCTCCCAGCAAGGCTAACCAGGTGGAGCCAGGCAGTGATGATGCAGAGTACACACCGGCAATGTCACGGGGAAAGAAGAAGCAGAAGAAGAGAAAACTTTACTCTGTCAACCTCATGGACTTCAGTCGCTCCAGCATCAACATCTTCACAGCCATCTTCTACTTCTACGCTGCACCAGTAACCAAGTTCTACTGTAACGTGGTATGTCTCCTCTTTCACGTGCTATAGAGATGATCTCTGTACTGGGAGTGTTGTGTTATGTCAGGATCTCCGTACTGGGAGTGTTGTGTTATTGTCAGGATCTCCGTACTGGGAGTGTTGTGTTATGTCAGGATCTCCGTACTGGGAGTGTTGTGTTATTGTCAGGATCTCCGTACTGGGAGTGTTGTGTTATTGTCAGGATCTCCTTACTGGGAGTGTTGTGTTATTGTCAGGATCTCCGTAATGTCAGTGTTGTGTTATAGAGAGGATCTCCGTACTGGGAGTGTTATGTTATATAGAGGATCTCTGTACTGGGAGTGTTGTGTTATAGAGAGGATCTCTGTACTGTGAGTGTTGTGTTATAGAGAGGATCTCCGTAATGGGAGTGTTGTGTTATTGTCAGGATCTCCATACTGGGAGTGTTGTGTTATGTCAGGATCTCCATAATGTGAGTGTTGTGTTATGTCAGGATCTCCATACTGGGAGTGTTGTGTTATTGTCAGAATTTCTGTACTGGGAGTGTTGTGTTATGTCAGGATCTCTGTACTGGGAGTGTTGTGTTATGTCAGGATCTCCGTAATGTGAGTGTTGTGTTATGTCAGGATCTCCGTACTGGGAGAGTTGTGTTATTGTCAGGATTTCTGTACTGGGAGTGTTGTGTTATTGTCAGGATCTCCATAATGTGAGTGTTGTGTTATGTCAGGATCTCCATACTGGGAGTGTTGTGTTATTGTCAGGATTTCTGTACTGTGAGTGTTGTGTTATTGTCAGGATCTCTGTACTGGGAGTGTTGTGTTATGTCTGGATCTCAATAATGTGAGCGTTGTGTTATGTCAGGATGTCACGTAATAATGTGAGTGGGAGTTGTGTTATGTCAGGATCTCGTACATACCGGGGAGTGTTGTGTTATTGTCAGGATTTCTGTACCTGTGAGTGTTGTGTTATTGTCAGGATCTCTGTACTGGGAGTGTTGTGTTATGTCTGGATCTCAATAATGTGAGCGTTGTGTTATGTCAGGATGTCCGTAATGGGAGTGTTGTGTTATTGTTAGGATTTCTGTACTGGGAGTGGTGTGTTATGTCAGGATCTCCGTACTGGGAGTGTTGTGTTATGTCAGGATCTCCATACTGGGAGTGTTGTGTTATGTCAGGATCTCCATAATGTGAGTGTTGTGTTATGTCAGGATCTCCGTACTGGGAGTGTTGTGTTATTGTCAGGATTTCTGTACTGGGAGTGTTGTGTTATTGTCAGGATTTCTGTACTGGGAGCGTTGTGTTATGTCAGGATCTCCGTACTGGGAGTGTTGTGTTATAGAGAGGATCTCCGTACTGTGAGTGTTGTGTTATTGTCAGGATCTCCGTACTGGAAGTGTTGTGTTATTGTCAGGATCTCCGTACTGGGAGTGTTGTGTTATTGTCAGGATCTCCATACTGGGAGTGTTGTGTTATTGTCAGGATCTCCGTACTGGGAGCGTTGTGTTATTGCTTTGAGTGTTGTCTTATAGAGAGGATATCCTTACTGGGAGTGTTGTCTTAAAGAGAGGATATCCTTAGTGGGAGTGTTGTGTTATTGTCAGGATCTCAGTACTGGGAGTGTTGTGTTATTGTCCAGATCTCAGTAATGGGAGTGTTGTGTTATAGAGAGGATCTCCCTACTGGGAGTGTTGTGTTATAGAGAGGATCTCCCTACTGGGAGTGTTGTGTTATTGTCAGGATCTCAGTACTGTGAGTGTTGTGTTATAGAGAGGATCTCTGTACTGTGAGTGTTGTGTTATTGTCAGGATCTCTGTACTGTGAGTGTTGTGTTATTGAGAGGATCTCAGTACTGTGAGTGTTGTGTTATAGAGAGGATCTCCGTACTGTGAGTGTTGTGTTATTGTCAGGATCTCTGTACTGTGAGTGTTGTGTTATTGTCCAGATCTCTGTACTGTGAGTGTTGTGTTATTGTCCAGATCTCTGTACTGTGAGAGTTGTGTTATTGTCCGGATCTCCGTACTGTGAGTGTTGTGTTATTGTCAGGATCTCCATACTGTGAGTGTTGTGTTATTGTCTGGATCTCTGTACTGTGAGAGTTGTGTTATTGTCCCAATCTCTGTACTGTGAGTGTTGTGTTATTGTCTGGATCTCTGTACTGTGAGAGTTGTGTTATTGTCCGGATCTCTGTACTGTGAGAGTTGTGTTATTGTCAGGATCTCTGTACTGTGAGAGTTGTGTTATTGTCCCGATCTCTGTACTGTGAGTGTTGTGGTATTGTCCCGATCTCTGTACTGTGAGAGTTGTGTTATTGTCAGGATCTCTGTACTGTGAGAGTTGTGTTATTGTCCGGATCTCTGTACTGTGAGTGTTGTGTTTTTGTCTGGATCTCCGTACTGTGAGTGTTGTCTTATTGTCAGGATCTCCATACTGTCAGTGTTGTGTTATTGTCTGGATCTCTGTACTGTGAGTGTTGTGTTATTGTCCAGATCTCTGTACTGTCAGTGTTGTGTTATTGTCTGGATCTCTGTACTGTGAGAGTTGTGTTTTTGTCTGGATCTCTGTACTGTGAGTGTCGTGTTATTGTCAGGATCTCCATACTGTGAGTGTTGTGTTATTGTCTGGATCTCTGTACTGTGAGTGTTGTGTTATTGTCCGGATCTCCATACTGGGAGTGTTGTGTTATTGTCCGGATCTCCATACTGTGAGTGTTGTGTTATTGTCAGATGCTGTACTCTGCTGTTATTTCAGGGATCCTACGTTGGCTTTCTATGCATCTTCAGCTATTTTGTACTGATTGACCTTCGACCTAGTACCGAGGCTGACTCTCCCTCAGTGTATGAGATGGTGACTTGGGTGTGGCTCGTCACCATGTTGCTGGAGGAGGGTAGACAGGTATGTCACAGAGGGGATACGGTAGGCAGACAGGTGTGTCAGTCTACTTTAGCTTGGAGTACTCATAACATAGTCTACATTAGCTTGGAGTACTCATAACATAGTCTAGATTAGCTTGGAGTACTCGTAACATACTCTAGATTAGCTTGGAATACTTGTAACGAAGTTTACATTTGCTTGCAGTCCGCGTAGGCATTCTGGTTCTGGTAATGTAATCTACATCAGCTTGGCGTTCTGGTAATGTAGTCTACATCAGCTTATGGCTCTGGTAATGTAGTCAACATCAGCTTGGCGTTCTGGTAATGTAGTCTACATCAGCTTGGCGTTCTGGTAATGTAGTCTACATCAGCTTGGCGTTCTGGTAATGTAGTCTACATCAGCTTGGGGTTCTGGTAATGTAGTCTACATCAGCTTATGGCTCTGGTAATGTAGTCTACATCAGCTTGGCGTTCTGGTAATGTAGTCTACATCAGCTTGGCGTTCTGGTAATGTAGTCTACATCAGCTTCTAGTAATGGGTTCACGCTCTGGTAATGTAGTCTACATCAGCTTATGGCTCTGGTAATGTAGTCTTCATCAGCTTGGCGTTTTGGTAATGTAGTCTACATCAGCTTGGCGTTCTGGTAATGTAGTCTACATCAGCTTATGGCTCTGGTAATGTAGTCTACATCAGCTTATGGCTCTGGTAATGTAGTCTACATCAGCTTGGCGTTCTGGTAATGTAGTCAACATCAGCTTGGCGTTCTGGTAATGTAGTCTACATCAGCTTGGCGTTCTGGTAATGTAGTCTACATCAGCTTGGGGTTCTGGTAATGTAGTCTACATCATCTTGGCGTTCTGGTAATGTAGTCTACATCAGCTTATGGCTCTGGGTGCAGTTCCACTAACCGATCTTAGCCCTATGCCAATCGTAAACCCCTAAAATCCCAATCTTAGCGTGACGTTACGATCGGCATACCGTTCCACTTACCAATCTTACCCATGTCAATCGTAAAGTTAAGATTCAAAGTCTAAGTTGCTCATGACCAACTTAGGATAGCTAAAATCAATCGTAGAGAAACGAAAATGGTGGTTTTCCTATTCTATGTGAAAAATAAGAGCGAGAATTTCACCGTGAGCGTCCCCTAAAATCCCCCATGAAATGAATTTGTATATTTCTGTGATGTAAACAAACACTGCACTGAAGCCTTACAAATGTCAGGCCAGTCTCACCACTGTCGTCATGGGAACACAGCCGGTGTAATACATTTGTACAACAATATTGCAACGTCATGGTTAAGAATAGGGACAGCCATGAAGTGAACAATGTTCTGAATCAAAAAGATACAAATATGTTTGATTTGACATGCCCTTATTTGGTGGGGTATTCTATTCAAGGCCACTGACAGATTCTACATACGTTATAGAGGATGCCTCTTCACGCCTTGTTTATTCTGATTGACAAGGATCAGGCACATATTAAAAGCTATGACACAATTGACATTTTTTAAAGTCCAGACTTAAAACCTGTTCTCAGTATATTACTTATAATCTCGGCTGTAAATACTCTTGTGTAAATTATCTGTACATGGCGCTTTGAGCATGCCCCAGGATGTGGAATAGGCACACTATAAATATGCATTTATTATTATTATATTATGCCTGATACCCAGCGTTCACACGCACTTGCACCTGAAACCAAGGTGCTCACTACCCTAATATTTTCCTCTAGGTTTTTTCTCCACGTTTACACTTGGTTGGAAAAATACCCATGAAGGCCCGGGTTAGAATACTGAACTTCAATAACCCATGCCTGTCGTAAGAGGCAACTAATGGGATCGGGGTGGTCAGGCTCGCTGACTTGGTTGACACATGTCATCGGTTCCCATCTGCGCAGATCAATGCGCATGCTGTTGATCACTGGATTGTCTGGTCCAGACTCGATTATTTATAGCTAAGATACATAGCGTTCACTAACATGAATGCTCATGTTAGTGAACGCTATGCATCTTAGCTAGATTATTTACAGACCACCGCCATATAGCTGGACTATTGCTGAGTGCGGCGTAAATCTAAACTCGCTCACTCACTCAGTTGGTTCGAAAACTACTTTCTATCATTTGCTAGACTATGCAAAGGGAGATAACTCGTGCCTCGCATTCCTCTATCTCTCGCACGAAAGAGTCTCGATCTAAGCTTGGATCAGATCGTAAGATCGAGACCGGCTACGATCAGCCTAAGATCGGTTAGTGAAACGGGTGTAACTTTTAGCTAAGACGATTGTAAAATTGGCGTAACTTGCTAAGATTGATCTTAGATAAGATCGGTTAGTGGAACAGCACCCAGGTAATGTAGTCTACATCAGCTTGGCGTTCTGGTAATGTAGTCTACATCAGCTTGGCGTTCTGGTAATGTAGTCTACATCAGCCTAGGGTTGTGGTATTGTTGTCTGTATTGTCTACATGTTGTCATAACATAAATTCCAAGTTAATCTTTGAAATGTTAATTTTTACCTTTATGTTTATATCTATTTGCTTGTACATATATGTTTTTGTAATGATAATTTTGTTTTCTATGTGGAGAGATGATGGAATAACAGCAGTGTATAAATCCTAACCCACTGCATGCTGCTGTTTCAGATCTTTATTCGTGACCAGCGTTCGTTTCGGTACAAGATTCAGAACTGGTTTAGTAACGTCTGGAACCGGTTTGACCTCCTCATCTACACCCTGTTTATTATTTCCATCGTCCTGCGCTACAACCTCTTCACCTCCAACTTCATTTGGGCGCGGATGTCCTACAGCATCACCCTTGCCTTCTACTATCTCCGGTTCATGCAGTTCTTCTTCGCAGCTAAAAACATGGGGCCCAAAGTTATTATGATCAGGAAAATGGTGAGTTGAAGAAAGATTAAAATCAGTTTGTAACGAAGTACAATGTCAGGTCATATATTTCTAGGCTATATGTAATTCATTATTTTTAAACTTATCCTATCTCACGACTTGCACCTCTCTCTCTTCATTCGACCATGAGTGGAAACGAATTAAAACTTTGCTCCAAGGCCTACCTTGCCCCTCTCCCGTGCTGTGCGTGCCTTCTGTGTCAGTCGTGCTCACTAGTCCATGACAGCACGAGGCATGCGCAGTCCTCACCTACGTGATCACCTCACATACTCATTCTCTTTCTTGTCGCTCCACTGAGTGGACGTGAAAATTTTTTCATCTGAGATTTGCTCAAAATGGTTAAGCCTGTTCAGGCCAGTAAACGGATGTTTTGCGCCCGTTGCAATAAAGTAATTTCAGCATGGGACCCACACACAACGTGTGTTGATTATGTGGGTGTTTGTGACTGGGACACATGCTGTCCGAATTGTTCAGGTCTGTCTAATGAGGCGTTTAAATTTTACAAACGTGCTTGTGCCAGACGTTTGGCAGATAGGGCTAGGACTAGTTCTGCGGGGTCTGGTCCATCTCCCGCTAAGAAACAATGCTTAGAACGCCCCACCCTCACTGCTCACCGTTCTCAATCGCCCGTCTCTCCTGACGAAGATTTTATGGACGCTAGAACGTTAGAAGGCTTTTAGGGGAGCTTCCCTCACCCAGTTTAAGTTCTCATGAGCGTACCAGGGTGGTAATGACCGATATTTCTTCTACGCCAGACCTGCGATCTACATTATCTCGTAGGTCTGCTTCTTCGGAACGATCACAGACTTCGAGAACTTCTAAGCATTCATCGTTGAAGCGGGGATCGGCGCGGTTGGAACGTACCCGCTCTCCTATTTCCACAGCTGGGAGGAGTCGTTCTAGGTCTCGTTCACTTTCCCGAGCCGGCTCACATGACCGAGCCGACTCACCATGCCGAACCGGCTCACATGGCCGAGCCGGTTCACACAGCCGAACCGGCTCACACGGCCGAACCGGCTCACACGGCCGAGCCGGCTCACCAGTCCATCTTCGAATGGGTTCACCTGACCGAACTGATTCACGTACTCGAAGGGGTTCACCAGGACGAACGGGTTCACATTCCCGACTCAGTTCACCTCAACATAGGTTTCAGTTCGACACACCATCAGCGTTTTGATTCCCGTAGTCGTTCAGTCTCGCCTGGTCGAGGTGGTTGGCCATTTCGATCCGGTTCACCTAGCCGTACGGTGTGTTTTCTTCAGAGTGATTCTCGAAGTCGGTCTCATTCACTTTAGGTGAATCAGGATATCCCGTCTTGTCAGTCTAGACTCAGTAGCATAATTTTGCGCACACTGTAACAATATTTACTTCCTCGGATCCCCAATCGTCATGTTCCTGGAGCAAACGTTGTCGGAATGTGCTCCCTTATTAGGACGCTTTTTAGAGCATGTAGACATGCTTGCTCCCCGGGCTGGCAGTCAGAGCTCGTTACACTTCAACAGTTGATCACCCGACAAATCCCCATTTTAACGACCGGTATTAACTGCTCGTCGTCCGCAGTTTCCCATGTCGGACGGTGATAATTTTATGGGCTTATCATTAGATGTTTTTTCGTGGTTCCGCCTCATCAAAACGCTTCTGTGTTGCCAGTTGACTCAAACATCCGATCTCATTGTCAAATCATCGAACCGATTCGCCACAATCAATCGGTTCGCCATACCGAATGGATTCACCAGACCGAACCGTTTCGCCATACCGAATGGATTCACCACACCCAATCGGTTCGCCATACCGAAGGGATTCACCACACCCAATCGGTTCGCCATACCGAATGGATTCACCACACCCAATCGGCTCGCCATACCGAATGGTTTCACCAGACCGCACCATCAAATTGCCGAACCGGTTCACCACGCCGAATCGGTTCACCATACCAAATGGATTCACCAGACCGAACCGATTCACCACATCGAATCGGTTTGCCATACACGAATGGATTCACCAGACCGAACCGTTTTGCCACGCTGTATGTGAATACGACATTGACTCAGTTTGCCATAATATTAAGACTGTTTCTTATCGCCGAAACAGTTCACATCATCGATTCAATTCACAGCACCGAAACGATTCACCTCGACCGTAACATTTCACCTCGCCTCACTGGTTCATCTGAGCGTTCTAGATGTCTCCATCAGCTGAGATCATTTAACCGTTTCGGATTACCGAACCGATTCAGATCAGTCACGATTCAGATCACATCGGACTGATTCAGATCACGCCAACTTTCCGCTCACCACCCTGAACTGATTTACCAGCCGCTCAGATCGTTTCACCAGGTCGAAAGCTCCTTATCGTCGAACCAGTTCACCTGGCCGTTCAAGATCAATGTACAGAGGTAGTAGCTTTGTGCTTCACCTTGCCGATTTGATTTACATGTGATGTTAGTAGCGCAGTCATCTAGAGATATCACGCTCGGCACTTGACGGCCTGACGATCCCAGTTCTCAAAAGTCCTCCGTGACTGGGGCTCATCTCATTCCAGATTTAATCTACCATCCGATCTTCACTTTTGATGAATGATTCGTTCGACGATTCTACCCTTCGGTGTAGATATCAGTTCTGCAACCACCCAATATGGCATAACTAGATACGCTTGCAAGCCAAGAATACTCACGACGCCCGATGAGTCTTGTTACTACAGACTACCGTAACAGCGTGTTTGTGTATCCCTTTGGTGCAATTGTTGCAGACGGCTCGTCATCTTCAGCTCCCTTTGTTTTACATGATAAGCAAGTTTCTGGACAGATAACAAATGGATGAAGTTCTTGCGCATGGTACCGCAATGTTTTGTCAAATAGCCAGCATAGCTCAGCCCGAATTTATGGGTTATGCGATCAGCCCGGTTAACCAAAGACCATGTTGTCCGTATTTTTGTCACCGTGTGTAATGTTTGCAAATGGCGGACTACTGTTTGTTTACCGAATTTTGATGATTAGAGTGATTATGAAGTGCCCTTGCAGAATTCTCTTGGTCCCACGAATCGGATACCAAGTCCAGCCTATAAATGCAAGTAACAACGAACGCTGCCATTCCCCAAAAGAGTGACTGTGTCGGGATTTTGACAGCCAGTCGAGAGACTGCTTATTGAGGGTGACGGACAGAAACACCCGTGAACGGTTTGCCTAGTCAAGCACTGAGTTCAGAGGTCACTGCATTATGCAAGGACTGTCACCAGGCAGCGATCTACTACCTATATCACTCCACCTGGCACCATTATTTTGTTCGCCAAAAGAAACGCTCCTGAGGTCACCGATCCTATGAATTTCTACAATTTGTTTATAATGTGAACGCTCCTGTAGATTGACTGACAATCTCCATGCCGAACATACTACATTGAGCACTCCGCCAGAACTGACGTAGTTGCTCGACTTATTGAACGCTCTTATATCAGGAGATATCTTTTGTCAGAGGCAAGAGTGGTTAGACCTCTCATTTCCCTTGACTCCGCGATGCCGTGGGGTAGCCTAGTGGTTAAAGCGCTGCCTCGCCACGCCCAAGACCCCGGTTTGATCCCCACATGGGCACAATGTGTTAAGCCCATTTCTTGTGCCCCCCGTGATTTTGCTGTATTATTGCTAAAGGCGGTGTAAAACTAAACTCAGTCAGTCAGTCAGTCCTCGACCTGTGAGACGCTTACCTTCACATCCGGATACATCCAGACTATTGGAAGTATCTTCAATTTACTTTATGGGGGCCATTGATACCAATGGAGGATCCTGCTGTATGGGCATATCGCGAACCCCGTGGGTTTTACTCAGATACCCATTCTGATAACGAGCTACCTGCATTGTCGGCTGTGACAACTGACAACAATATCGACGACTGTGTTCAAGCCCAGCAGGATCCAGTCGCCCTTCCTTTCCACAGACAGTTCATCATCAAGTTGCTCACACAATTAGGATGGCTGCTAAATTCGAGCAATCAGGGTAACACCGACCGGCTGTTTCTTCTTATTGGGACAATATTCAACACGCCAGGTCATGATGTTTGTGCCCCAGGAGAGGTGGGACAAGATTCAGTGCAACGCACCACTAGTGTTGGTCCAACCCACACCTTTTCGCCAGTGGCAGAAGTTACTAGGGTGGTTGGCGTCGGCACAAGTGCTGACTGGCAGGGGCCAGCTGCAGCTTGCCCTCTTCAGATGGTTCTGTGCCCACACATCGGGGACATCAACACCAGGGAGTTGATTCGTCTTCCCGCACAACTACACTCAGTCTTTCGTTGGTGGCTCAACAAGTGGAATGTTTGTGTTGGAGTCTCTATGGTGCCCTTCATACCGACTCAACACCTGTTCGTTGACACATATTTCAAGCTGGGACGCTCACTTTCTCCATCAAGTGGCCTAGCAGTGGTCATCAGGAGAAAGGGCCCTTCATCACAACGAATTGGAATTCAGCATTGTCATTCTCGCCTGTTCGGCACTCGGGACAACCATCAGCTTCAGCGCAGATGATCACCAGTTGCGATCGTTTCTGCTTTGTGTACAATCTGAATAAAATTCTGAATTTTATTTCTGATTTGTGTCTTCGATTCTTCTGGGACTTGTGAGTTTCCGATTCAATTACCCTTTCACTCTCCACGGGACGGTGTCTGTGGGGGTTATGTCGAAGCAGGGGCTGGCCCGATACTGGTCGTCAGACCTTGGAAATCGTGGTAATGCGACTGTTTACACTCGCTAAGCTGCGTCCTTTCACTTTCATGAAGGTAGTGACTGAACACCACATTGCTCGGGAATCCCGGTCCCTGGAGCACTAGTGTTTAGTAAGTCAATGGGTTCGAACTGACCATCGCAGGTCTTGCTTTTGACACGCTGGAGGGTCGCCACCTCACTTACTGTCCTCTGCTCCACGGATTAATTACGTCAGTGAAGTGAGTCATTCCCGAAGTGTTACACTTCGTAGCGTTACCTTAAAGCATCGCAAGAGCACCGCCGTCTGCGTAAGAGACTGTTTATACCCTTGTCTACTGCTTCCAAGGCGGAAGTCTCTCGCGACAACACTCTCATATTGGCTACGAAGCTACAATACTACGAGCCTACACTTTTGCCGGTTTGCCTCCACTCCACGGCAGTCAACCCTCATGAAACCAGGGCATTGGCTTTCTACTATGGCGCTGCATAGCAACTGCTCGTTAACTGCCATAATGGAGGGTTGTTTTTGGAGATCTGACACAGTATTTTCGTCTCATTACCTCAGAGATGTGTCGGTGACGGATATTCAAGGCCTTCATCAGTTTGGACCACTCGTCCTTGCCCAGCAGTTATCAGCGGCACAACATCGCAGATAATGAACTTCCTTGTGCTTCGATGCTATATGGATCCCACTGTGCAGTTGATCCCAAGTCGCGATCGTTTCTGCTTGTGTACAATCTGAATGAATCTGAAAAACCTTTTCTGATTTACGTCTTCCGGGATTTAGATTTCTCCTCTCATTTGTTTGAGACTACAGAGAGTCGCCACCTCACTTACTGTCCTCTGCTCCACGGAGTAATTAAGTCAGTAATGTGAGTCCTTTCCGAAGTGTTACACGTCAGAAGCGCTCATGCTCCTAAGTGCCTACACATCTATGTGATCTTATTGTGGTAAGTAGTGGAAGTCATAAGATGATGTTGTGGTACTGAACGCTAAAATTGTGAGTTTTACCGATTCAATTTCTCTTTCACCCTCCTCGGGACGGTGTCTGTGGGGTTGTTTGAAGCAGGGCTGGCCCGATACTAGTCGTTAGACTTTTATTACGGGGTACCTTGGAAATCGGCGATGCGACTGATTACACTCGTTAAGCCACGTCCTTTCGCTTTGTGAAGGTAGTGACTGAACACCACATTGCTCGGGAATCCCAGTCCCTGGGAGCAATTGTGCTTAGTAAGTCAATGGGTTCAAACTAACCCTCGCACGTAGTAACTTGGTAGTTATTGGCCTACCTTGTAGTTGCTTCCTACGGTTGTTTGGGCATAACACTTAGCTGTTATCGCTTGAATTTCAGGTAATCTATGACCCACCTTCCTACCGTGGGATAAGTGCAAGTCGTGAGATAGGATAAGTTTTAAAATTTGAAAATTTTAACTATAAATTGTATATTTATATACTTATCCTATCTCACGCGATAAAGCCCCTCCCTACCTCCCCACTACATAGATTACCACCGTTCCGGTTTTGTCCTTTTATGGCTCCAAGATCGAGAATGAGTTTGTGAGGTGATCACGTGGGTGAGGACTGCGCATGCCTCGTGCTGTCATGGACTAGTGAGCACGACTGACACAGAAGGCACGCACAGCACGGGAGAGGGCCAAGGTAGGCCTTGGAGCAAAGTTTTAATTCGTTTCCACTCATGGTCGAATGAAGAGAGAGAGGTGCAAGTCGTGAGATAGGATAAGTATATAAATATACAATTTATAGTTAAAATTTTCAATATTTTCAATGAGTTTCTTATGGTGGCTAGATATGATACCGGTGTGTGACTTGAACTATGCCTGTGTGAGGGAGTTGAACTGTGCCTGTGTGAGAGAGTTGAACTGTGTCTGTGTGAAAGAGTTGAACTGTGCCTGTGTGAGAGAGTTGAACTGTGCCTGTGTGACAGAGTTGAACTGTGCCTGTGAGAGAGAGTTGAACTGTGCATGTGTGAGAGAGTTGAACTGTGCCTGTGTGAGAGAGTTGAACTGTGCCTGTGTGAGAGACTTGAACTATGCCTGTGTGAGAGAGTTGAACTGTGCCTGTGTGAGAGACTTGAACTATGCCGGTGTGAGGGAGTTGAAGTGTGCCTGTGTGAGGGACTTGAACTATGCCTGTGTGAGGGAGTTGAACTGGGCATGTGTGAGAGAGTTGAACTGTGCCTGTGTGAGAGAATTGAACTGTGCCTGTGTGAGGGACTTGAACTATGCCTGTGTGGGAGAGTTGAACTGTGCCTGTGTGATAGAGTAGAACTATGCCTTTGTGAGGGACTTGAACTGTGCCTGTGTGAGAGACTTGAACTGTGCCTGTGTGAGGGAGTTGAACTGTGCCTGTGTGAGAGAATTGAACTGTGCCTGTGTGAGAGAGTTGAACTGTGTCTGTTTGAGGGAGTTGAACTGTGCCTGTGTGAGGGACTTGAACTGTGCCTGTGTGAGGGAATTGAACTGTGCCTGTGTGAGGGACTTGAACTGTGCCTGTGTGAGAGAGTTGAACTGTGTCTGTGTGAGAGAGTTGAACTGTGCCTGTGTGAGAGACTTGAACTGTGCCTGTGTGAGAGAGTTGAAGTGTGTCTGTGTGAGGGAGTTGAACTGTGCCTGTGTGAGGGACTTGAACTGTGCCTGTGTGAGGGACTTGAACTGTGCCTGTGTGAGAGAGTTGAACTGTGCCTGTGTGAGAGAGTTGAACTGTGTCTGTGTGAGAGAGTTGAACTGTGCTTGTGTGAGGGACTTGAACTGTGCCTGTGTGAGGGACTTGAACTGTGCCTGTGTGAGAGAGTTGAACTGTGCCTGTGTGAGAGAGTTGAACTGTGCCTGTGTGAGGGACTTGAACTGTGCCTGTGTGAGAGACTTGAACTGTGCCTGTGTGAGAGAGTTGAACTGTGCCTGTGTGAGGGACTTGAACTGTGCCTGTGTGAGAGACTTGAACTGTGCCTGTGTGAGAGAGTTCAACCGTGCCTGTGTGAGGGAGTTGAACTGTGCCTGTGTGAGAGACTTGTACTGTGCCTATGTGAGAGAGTTGAACTGTGCCTGTGTGTGAGAGTTGAACTGTGTCTGTGTGAGAGCGTTGAAGTGTGTCTGTGTGAGAGAGTTGAACTGTGTCTGTGTGAGAGAGTTGAACTATGCCTGTGCAAGGGCATCACTGTTTGCTTTCTGTCTGCAGCTGACAGACCTCCTGTTTTTCTTCTTCATCCTGCTTGTGTTTGTCCTGAGTTTCGGGGTTGCCTACCATGTGAACCTGTACCCCAACCATGTCCCAAGCTACAAGGTCCTCATCAATGTGCTGTACCTGCCCTACTGGCAGATGTACGGCGAGCTGTTCCTGGAGCGTGTGCAAGGTGAGCTATACCGACTGCCTTGGGAAGGGAAGGGGTCTCAGCAAGACCAGCAGGTGTCCTCACTATTCCTGCCTGCTAGTCACTGAGGGAGGAGGACAGTCTAATTAGTTGGTGGTGACATGTTTTTTGTTTGTCAGGTGAGGATGACCCATCAAGCTGTACCCGGAATGAGACCTTGTGGCGAGCTGACCTTGCACCACGATGTCCTGAGCCCAATGCTCTTGTGTCCATCCTGCTGGCCGTGTACATGATCCTCACCAACATCCTACTGGTCAACCTCCTAATTGCCATGTTCAGGTAAACCATGCAGGTGTTATCCTCTAGTGTTATCCTCTAGCCAAGCAGGTGTATACAGTGTTATCCTCTAGCCAAGCAGTTGTATATAGCATGCATGTTATGTCATGAGTAAGCAGGTGTATCCAGTGCTATCCTCTAGCCAATCAGGTGTATACAGCATGCATGTTATATCATGGGTAAGCCGGTGTATACAATGTTATCTTCTAGCCAAGCAGGTGTATACAGTGATATCCTCTAGCCAAGTAGGTGTATACAGTGTTATCCTCTAGCCAAGCAGGTGTATACAGTGTTATCCTCTGGCCAAGCAGGTGTATACAGTGTTATCCTCTGGCCAAGCAGGTGTATACAGTGTTATCCTCTAGCCAAGCAGGTGTATACAGTGTTATCCTCTAGCCAAGCAGGTGTATACAGGTGTATACAGTGTTATCAGTGTGCCTCTAGCCAAGCAGGTGTATACAGTGTTATCCTCTAGCAAGCAAGCAGGTGTATAGCATGCATGTTATATCATGGGTAAGCAGGTGTATACAGTGCTATCCTCTAGCCAAGCAGGTGTATACAGTGTTATCCTCTAGCCAAGCAGTTGTATATAGCATGCATGTTATATCATGGGTAAGCAGGTGTATACAGTGCTATCCTCTAGCCAAGCAGGTGTATACAGTGTTATCCTCTAGCCAAGCAGTTGTATATAGCATGCATGTTATATCATGGGTAAGCAGGTGTATACAGTGTTATCCTCTAGCCATGTTATATCATGGGTAGGTGTATACAGTGTTATCCTCTAGCCAAGCAGGTGTATACAGTGTTATCCTCTAGCCAAGGAGGTGTATACAGTGTTATCCTCTAGCTATGCAGGTGTATACAGTGCTATCCTCTAGCCAAGCAGGTGTATACAGCATTAAGGCACACAGTTGTTACAGTTTGCAAGATGTGGAGCGTTTTTCAGCTACACATTCCAGACGGTGCAGGACAATTCCATGAAGATCTGGCGCTACTACCGTCTGTCTCTGGTGTTTGAGTACTTTGACCGACCCACTCTCGTGCCTCCCATCATCATCATCAACCACTTCTACCGCCTCTTCATTTGGGGTGTCAACCACTGCTCTCGCACCTGCAAGAGACCAAATGCTTTCAGTAAGTGATAAGTCTGCTTCTATTTCTACACTGTACCTGTAGTTGTGATTGTGATACATGTTACTTGGAAGTTAAACATATGTGTTGATGCTGCTGTCTGATCACTGTTGTTTGCTGGCTTGTAGGAGAGAGCGGCCCCACAACACTGGGGGGGAAGATAGGTGAGATCATCATGCTGGATCTAGCTGGCTTACTGTACCATATAAACATTACAATCTCTCATCTTCTGCAACTAACATTTGCATTTGCATTGTTTTGTTACTAGAAGAAATAACAGAAAGTCTTCAAGGTACAATGAGTGCCTTGACAAATCTATAGACTTTAGTTAAATAATACTAGGAAAAAGAAATATTTAGTTTATTCATAATCTTGCAGATTAATGTTTTAGCCTTTCATGCATTTTGTCAGAGAACCAGTTTTAATCTCAGTAGATGTTTTTCTTTTGGTAAGTATTTAGCCTATCAATTGTTTATTGTCTGTTCTATGATGTTTCTGTTCATCAATCTTCAGGTCAGTTAAGCAATGGTCAGTGTTTGTCTGGGAATTTCAATAGGGTTGGTTGGGGACCACAAAAATTTCAGTACCACGGTATACCACGGTTTATGTTCAAGTACCACAGTATTTACCAGGATATACCGTGCTGCTGTAACTAGCTATTAACTAATGAATCCAATTGTCTTGTTTAATGATTTTGAATGAACTGGACCATGAAGTAATGTCATAACTATAATAAACAAATATGAAAAATACAAAAGTGTTTTAGATTTCAGTCATCACAACAGGAAACTTCCACAAGAAGATGAAATCTGAAAACTTCAAAACTGAGCTCACTGTCACGTTCAACAACTCAAACATTATGAACAAAATAAGCAATCTTGTTAATTCCAGTAAGTCAACAACATTAAGTTGACATAACTTGATAATATCACAAAATGACTTCACAAAAATCACATTGACTAGAAATATTACAAGATTCACGGCTGAGCAATGAGATTCTTGAATTCAGCATTATTCAGGTATTAAATTACTAGGAGTGTAAGTTTTAGTTTGCAAATACTCATCACTAGTCATCACTCATCACTAGTCATCACTCATCACTAGTCATCACTCATCAGTCACCACAAAGAGGAATAGTAAACTGAGATGATATCCTTCACAAAATTTCAAATCTGAACAACAAGTTAACAACAAATCTGTTAATCATCCATGCCATTGCCAGTACTTTTCGTTTTTTCTTTATTCAATCTACATTGTATAGCGACATTTTAAAGAAACCATATTATAAAGAAAATCTAGTGAGATGACAAATTTTGCTAACAAATATCTTTGTGAAGAGAAAATAGTGTTTTATTTGAACGAAAAAAAAACGGTTTTCTACAACCTTCTGCGGTATATACCGACTCATGGAAAAAAACATGGTATATCGGTTAACCGGTAAAACCGCCCATCTCTAAATTTCAATGATCACATTGAGGGGTTTCTTTGTCTGCTCGTCCGTTTGCTTTAAACTACTGTGTCTACAACTTTTGTCAACTGATGCCAAGAATTACTTACACATTGAATTTGTGTTTGGTTTTCTACTGCAAGGTATAATGGAAAGGCAGTATTATGTGCAGTAGGTCTACAGACAGCAGGCAGGTCACCCAGTCACCAGGTTATTCTTGTTGAGTCTTAACTGGTAACAATATTTGTAAACATGGAAACCAATGCAAAATATTTTACGTTACAAATGATGATAATAAGTCCATGTATGATGTGCCAAATTCTACTCAACTTGATGCTCACGTGATACATTATTATAACCCCAGTAAGTGGGTGTGTTCGTGATGTTCATTCTCAGCTCATTTGGGATGATACAAGCTGGCTGCTGGAGATAGATGGTAACTGTTACATCACCACCTCCTACTGGGTGCCTGTTAGGGCTAGATGGTTAACAGTCACATCACCACCTCCTACCACCTCCTACTGGGTGCTTGTTGGGGCTAGATGGTTAACTGTCATATCACCACCTCCTACTGGGTGCCTGTTGGGGCTAGATGGTTAACAGTCACATCACCACCTCCTACTGGGTGCTTGTTGGGGCTAGATGGTTAACTGTCATATCACCACCTCCTACTGGGTGCCTGTTGGGGCTAGATGGTTAACAGTCACATCACCACCTCCTACTTGGGTGCTTGTTGGGGCTAGATGGTTAACAGTGGGGCTAGATGGTTAACAGTCCATCACCACCTCCTACTGGGTGCTTGTTGGGGCTAGATGGTTAACTGTCGTCTAGATAGTTAACATCCTCATCACCTCCTATCACCATCACCCTCCTACTGGGTGCCTGTTGGGGCTAGATGGTTAAGTGTCACATCACCACCTCCCTACTGGGTGCTTGTTGGGGCTAGATGGTTAACCTGTTGGGGCTAGATGGTTAACTGTCATATCACCATCTCCTACTGGGTGCTTGTTGGGGCTAGATGGTTAACTGTCACATCACCATCTCCTACTGGGTGCTTGTTGGGGCTAGATGGTTAACAGTCACATCACCACCTCCTACTGGGTGCTTGTTGGGGCTAGATGGTTAACTGTCATATCACCACCTCCTACTGGGTGCCTGTTGGGGCTAGATGGTTAACTGTCATATCACCACCTCCTACTGGGTGCCTAGATGGTTGCCTGTCACATCACCATCTCCTACTTGGTGCTTGTTAGCTAGATGGTTGTCACATCACCACCTCCTGGGGCTAGATGGTTAACTGTCATATCACCACCTCCTACTGGGTGCCTGTTGGGGCTAAATGGTTAACTGTCACATCACCACCTCCTACTGGGTGTCATTATCACCACCTCCTACTGGGTGCCTGTTGGGGCTAGATGGTTAACAGTCACATCACCACCTCCTACTGGGTGCTTGTTGGGGCTAGATGGTTAACTGTCATATCACCATCTCCTACCACCTCCTACTGGGTGCCTGTTGGGGCTAGATGGGTTAACTAGATCACATCACCACCTCCTACTCCTGTTACTGGGTGCCTGTTGGGGCTAAATGGTTAACAGTCACATCACCACCTCCTACTGGGTGCTTGTTGGGGCTAGATGGTTAACAGTCACATCACCATCTCCTACTGGGTGCTTGTTGGGGCTAGATGATTAACTGTCATATCACCATCTCCTACTGGGTGCCTGTTGGGGCTAGATGGTTAACAGTCACATCACCACCTCCTACTGGGTGCTTATTCACTGATCAGATTAAGTCAGACCTGTGCACTGTGCACCCAACTCCACACCACATGGTTAACAGATCAGATCAACTCCACACCACAAGGTTGGGTGTGGATCAGGACTATGAAAGATGGTTTTAACATTGTGTATAAAGCCATCAGTAGTGTTTTGTTTTACAAATTAGCTTTTCCTAATTATGGCACATTCCATCACTGATAGCACATAGACAGTATCCTGGTCTGTGTAGAACTTACAGACATCTCTGTCTAGTATACTACTAACCACATAAGGGACCGTTCATAATTCATGGCTAGGGGGATGATGATGATTTTAAGGGCGAGTCACCCATTTTGTTCTGGGGAAGCAGGGGGGTCATCAATTTTGTACATAAAAATATGCTAAAAAATTATGGTAAGGGTGGGGGGTGTCATTGATTTTGTACATGACATGCAGGGTGGAGTCACTTACTTTGTACATTAATTTTAGAGGGGGTCATTCACATTGTACATGCTTCTCCATAAAAATCATCATCACCCTCCTAGCCATAAATGAACAGTCCCTAAAACAAGGGCTGAACAAGGTTGAGATGAGGAGTTGACAGCAGTGATCTGTTGACAAGACTGGAACAATTTGTTGACAAACTCATTGTTCAGATCCATTTTCTTTTTCCTTTTATGACAAGCCTAGGTTGAACATCAAGTTGATATCCCATTGGCAACCATTAAAACCATGTTTTGGGTGACACATTCTTGTATTATCTATATCTCATGTCATCCCATTGGCAACCATTACAACCATGTTTTGGGTGCCACATTCTTGTATTATCTATGTCTCTTGTCATCCCATTGGCAACCATTACAACCATGTTTTGGGTGACACATTCTTGTATTATCTATATCTCATGTCATCCCACTGGCAACCATTACAACCATGTTTTGGGTGCCACATTCTTGTTTTATCTATATCTCATGTCATCCCATTGGCAACCATTACAACCATGTTTTGGGTGACACATTCTTGTATGATCTATATCTCATGTCATCCCACTGGCAACCATTACAACCATGTTTTGGGTGACACACATTCTTGTATGATCTATATCTCATGTCATCCCATTGGCAACCATTACAACCATGTTTGGGTGACACACATTCTTGTATGATCTATATCTCATGTCATCCCATTGGCAACCATTACAACCATGTTTTGGGTGACACATTCTTGTATGATCTATATCTCATGTCATCCCATTGGCAACCATTACAACCATGTTTTGGGTGACACATTCTTGTATTATCTATATCTCATGTCATCCCATTGGCAACCATTACAACCATGTTTTGGGTGCCACATTCTTGTATTATCTATATCTCATGTCATCCCATTGGCAACCATTACAACCATGTTTTGGGTCACACATTCTTGTATTATCTATGTCTCTTGTCATCATTACCATTACAACCATGTTTTGGGTCACACATTCTTGTTTATCTATATCTCATGTCATCCCATTGGCAACCATTACAACCATGTTTTGGGTGCCATGTTTTGGGTCACACATTCTTGTATTATCTATATCTCATGTCATCCCATTGGCAACCATTACAACCATGTTTTGGGTCACACATTCTTGGTCTCTTGTCATCCCATTGGCAACCATTACAACCATGTTTTGGGTGACACATTCTTGTATTATCTATATCTCATGTCATCCCATTGGTCATACAACCATGTTTTGGGTCACACATTCTTGTATTATCTATGTCTCTTGTCATCCCATTGGCAACCATTACAACCATGTTTTGGGTGACACATTCTTGTATGATCTATATCTCATGTCATCCCATTGGCAACAATTACAACCATGTTTTGGGTGACACATTCTTGTATTATCTATATCTCATGTCATCCCATTGGCAACCATTAAAACCATGGTTTGGGTGACACATTCTTGTATTATCTATATCTCTTGTCATCCCATTGGCAACCATTAATTGGGTGACACAATCTTGTATTATCTGTATCTCTTGTCATCCCATTGGCAACCATTACAACCATGGTTTGGGTGACACAATCTTGTATTATCTATATCTCATGTCATCCCATTGCACCACATAGTGGAACGTTTGGTTTCGGTATCTTGTAAATTACACTTCCTTTCTCCAAATATTTCTAACCTTTCATCTCTTTACAGAGGAGCGACTGGATGAGAAAGACTATGCTAGACTCCAAATATTTGAGAAAGTGGCAATGGAAAATTATTTGTCTCGATCGTTGATGCTACGCCGAGAACAGCTTGACAACAGAGTGGCCACCACAGCAGAGAGGTAAGCAGGCTGCTGGTACTGTTATATGGTGTCATCCTGACACCCTAGTGCTGCTACTGTCATATGGTGTCATCCTGACACCCAAGTGCTGGTACTGTCATACAGTGTCATCAGGCTGCTGGCACTGTCATACAGTGTCATCCTGACACCCAAGTGCTGGTACTGTCATACAGTGTCATCCTGACACCCAAGTGCTGGTACTGTCATACAGTGTCATCAGGCTGCTGGTACTGTCATACAGTGTCATCCTGACACCCAAGTGCTGGTACTGTCATACAGTGTCATCAGGCTGCTGGTACTGTCATACAGTGTCATCCTGACACCCAAGTGCTGGTACTGTCATACAGTTTCATCAGGCTGCTGGTACTGTCATACAGTATCATCCTGAGACCCTAGTGCTGGCACTGTCATACAGTGTCATCAGGCTGCTGGTACTGTCATACAGTGTCATCCTGATGCGCAAGTGCTGTTACTGTCATACAGTGTCATCAGGCTGCTGGTACTGTCATTCAGTGTCATCAGGCTGCTGGTACTGTCATACAGTGTCATCCTGTCACCCCGGTGCTGGTACTGTCATACAGTGTCATCCTGTCACCCCAGTGCTGGTACTGTCATACAGTGTCATCAGGTTGCTAGTACTGTCATACAGTGTCATCCTGTCACCCCAGTGTTGGTACTGTCATACAGTGTCATCCTGACACCCAAGTGCTGGTACTGTCATTCAGTGTCATCCTGTCACCCCAGTGCTGGTACTGTCATACAGTGTCATCCTGACACCCAAATGCTGGTACTGTCATACAGTGTCATCCTGTCACCCCAGTGCTGGTACTGTCATACAGTGTCATCAGGCTGCTGGTACTGTCATACAGTGTCATCCTGACACCCAAATGCTGGTACTGTCATACAGTGTCATCCTGACACCCAAGTGCTGGTACTGTCATACAGTGTCATCAGGCTGCTGGTACTGTCATACAGTGTCATCCTGACACCCAAATGCTGGTACTGTCATACAGTGTCATCCTGACACCCAAGTGCTGGTACTGTCATACAGTGTCATCCTGACACCCAAGTGCTGGTACTGTCATACAGTGTCATCAGGCTGCTGGTACTGTCATACAGTGTCATCCTGTCACCCAAGTGCTGCTACTGTTATACAGTGTCATCCTGACACCCTAGTGCTGGTACTGTCATACAGTTTCATCAGGCTGCTGGCATTGTCATAGAGTGTCATCCTGACACCCAAGTGCTGGTACTGTCATACAGTGTCATCAGGCTGCTGGCACTGTCATACAGTGTCATCCTGACACCCAAGTGCTGGCACTGTCATACAGTGTCATCAGGCTGCTGGTACTGTCATACAGTGTCATCCTGACACCCTAGTGCTGGTACTGTCATACAGTGTCATCAGGCTGCTGGTACTGGCATACGGTGTCATCCTGACTCCCTAGTGCTGGTACTGTCATACAGTGTCATCAGGATGCTGGTATTGTCATTTAGTGTCATCCTGACACCCAAGTGCTGGTACTGTCATACAGTTTGATCCTGACACCCTAGTGCTGGTACTGTCATATGGTGTCATCCTGACACCCTAGTGCTGGTACTGTCATACAGTGTCATCAGGCTGCTGGTACAGGCATACAGTGTCATCTTGACACCCTAGTGCTGGTACTCTCATACAGGTTCATCCTGACACCCTAGTCCTGGTACTGTCATACAGTGTCATTAGGCTGCTGGTACTGTCATACAGTGTCATCCTAACACCCAAATGCTGGTACTGTCATACAGTGTCATCCTGACAACCCAAGTGCTGGTACTGCCGTATAATTATTTGTATGTTGTGATACAGGGATCAACAATTTTCAAAAGCACTAGGTACACTCTGGCCATTTGTGACTGCCCATGGGAGCTTGGAGTCCACAGGAAAAATGACAAACATATTTAGTAAACTACAATTAATTTAACTTTAACACCTAAATCTAAATCATTATAGGCAGTGGTCATACAAAATGTCATCAGCTGTAAGAAGGGTGGCAGGCCTTTCCTGGAACTGATCCCCCACAGCCACTGATTCAGGTGGAGAAATAGACGATTCTTATTCTTTTTGGCAATAAGCAGCATTTCAGCAAAGACAACAGCCTGAAACAGTTACATGTCAACTAGACAAATCTCAGCTTGCTATTATGGGGTGCTTTTCATTAGGGTACAATGACACACAGTGTCATGGCTGACATGGGAAAGGTTCACGCCTCATGGTGTGTATGTAGCACTAGATTGAGCAACATCTCTGTTCGGCACTGTATGACATGTTCAGCACTGTATGACATGATCGGGTGTTTCAGAATAGAGAATGTGATGCATGAACTGGAACTGATCAGGGAGACAGTGTCGGATTCTGGGGCCCGATCACTCACTGAGGAGCAGAAGCAGCAGCTTGCAACCCTGGACACCATGACGGCACCCAGGTAAATACTGCCTCCCTCTAAGGCCTCTTATGACCTCCAGTGTGGGCTGGGTAAATTAATCTCATTGTTGGGTAGGGTATATAATAATGCTGGAGCGTTTGATCGAATTATCGGTAAATTGATTGATCTGGCTTGTGTCAGTGATTTGTGTTCCTGGGTGCTGTTACCTCCATTGTTGTCGTGAAGTATTGTGTGTAAACAACTTTGTGTACCATTAGTGAACTTACTGAAGTGAATAAGATCTATGATTTCCCAGGTGGGCAAAGAGTGAGGTATGGAAAAACTATTTGACCACTGTGACCCTTGTATAGATGAGCCATCTGTTCTTTAAATGCAGGGATCAGATACAAAGACGACACAAATTATCTGAAAACCTTTCAGAGAAGATCCACCCTACACACTCTACAAACCAAACAAAATCTGCAACATGAGTTCGGATTTCTACACTATTTGGTGTAAAATCTCAACAGCCAAAATGATCAATTAATGACCCTAAAGCATAGAAAATAAAACAGTCCCCTGCTGAATGTATTGTCAGAGATATGTAACAAGAATTATGAAGATTCCCACGAATGTCAGGGGAGACAACTCCTTCGGAGAAGCACTTGAGAAGGCCATTAGGAAGTAAGACAACACAATGTGATGGATGTTTACATTTGTATTCAAGTTAAACCTGTGGATCAGAAACAAGTTTCAGGAAATAATGTCAACAAGTGTTAGATGTAGTATTCTAAGAATTATCATCAGTATTGATAATACTTCTAAAATGTTTTTAATATCATAAATTTGGTACTGTCATTATTCTTGGTTCAATTTTGTGGTATAACAATGGTATGAAAAGTGAATGTTACATAGTTTAATCACAACAGCCATTTTGAAAGCAAACAAGGTATCATATTTACAAAATATCTGAACACCTCAGTTCTCAAGGTTTCTTGGTCGTGGCTTGCTGGCTGGCTACAGGAAGGAATCCCAACATGACGTGTATACATGAGTAGCAAATCATGAATATATAGGAGATTGTTGCGCCGGCCGACTCCCGGCCAAAGTTTGGTAATGAAACACATTCACTTCAGTGGGGGATATTGCTGTATTGCTTTGTTGAACAAAGTAAGAATAAAAGAATGTTTTGTGGACAATAAGAATAACTTGCTGTCTGTTCCTGATGATACAGGACTATGTTGTCAGATTAAATGTTTTCGGACATCATTATGTTTTGGGCAGCGCTATCCCCGCACTATGGCAGGGTATGTTGCTTCACACACACATCATCAATCTCTATATCATAGCTGCTTGTTGTTGTTAAGATAATGTTGTTTTGTATAGATATGTTTGTGACATGTTTTATAGTTGTTCATGCGATGAATGATTGTTCTTAAGCATCTGAAAACCAAGAAGACAAAGATACACAACACGCAGCCATACAGCAGGAAGTTACTTCCATCGTTTGATCGTAGTATTCCTCTGTGCCCGTTTAGTTTGCACAGTGTTCTGACTGTGTCCCACTCTTGCCCACATGAGTTTAATATGGATTATTGATGATTACTGAGCTCTGATTATCAAACTGTATATTGTGAGCGATAACCAGCATTAGTAAATATGATCTCTTTTGGGACTGGGAAAGTCTCATTGCTGGTGTAGATATTACCACAGGAATACATGAGGATGAAAATAATCTGTATCTGACTTCTTTAGGCTGCAGTGTGTCACGGACACAAGTTGTCACAGCTTAATAGCACACACCCAGACACAATCGGTTCAGCCCAGATTTTTTTTTAACGACCAATTCTCAACTTTCAACTGCCACACCACATCACACGACCACCTCGTCATCACATCGAGTCCACACCCACCCATCATAGAAAGCAACGAATGCAGGGACACAAATAGACCTCAAGCATCAACCAAAACACAGACAACTCCTTTGTGGAACAACACACAGACTACAAGAAAATGTGGTCAAATTATAACAGCCTCTCATTCAGGTGGTTTAAATGTAAGCTCACTGTCGTAGCTGTGCCTGTAGTCATTAGTGATATAAGGTGTTTTTTGAAATTTCAGACCTGCAACTGGTGAGACGGCATATGTGCGTCAGTGCGTGGACGACCTGTCAGAACAGGTGGGGCAGAACACAATGAAGCTGAGCCAACTGATGCATATGGTGGAGATGTTGGTGGACAGTCAGACCCGCGGAGCAGGGGGCCGGCACTCACAGGAGGGGCACACCAGGCGCTCGCCAGGGAAGTCTGCATGGGCTGACCATCTCGGAGATCACTCATGGGGATGAAGAGGAGGATGCTTGAATTGGAAGATTATGATTGACAGGCACTGAAATTCCTGCATTGGAACCATTTATCCCTGAACCAGCAAATCACTGTTTCAGACCCATTGAAAACTAACATATCACTATTTCAGACCCATTGAAAACCAGCAAATCACTATTTCAGCAGTCACCGAAAACCAGTATATCATTATTTCAGACACACTAAATACCAATATATCACTATTTCAGACCCACTGAAAGCCAGTATACTACTGTTTCATTGCTGTATGTCATTATCTGTTAGTACGTATTTAGTATGATTAAGCAGCTCAGGGATACTGTAATGTGGGGACTAAGCAGGGTAAATACAGTCATAGTGGGAAGTGTTTGGACTTTCCGCGATGTTTCACACTTACCTCTGTGCCTCGTGAGCTGTCCTGTGATGTGTTGACGAATCCCCACTCCTGTACCTTCTGTTTGCGTCCTTCTGTTTGCGTCAGTTGGAAGCTGAAATCCTATTGCTATTTTTCTATGTGATATGTTGAGACTGAAAGCAGTGAACCTGTCTGCACAACGTGATGGTTGAACAAGCTCAGACATTAAGGTACAGAAGATCTGCACCCGCTACTCACCAACAGTTCAGTGCCTTTACATTACTGAACGCACCTTGTTAACTCACTTCTTTATATGGCATTTAGAAGCTGGCATGATGAGTGTATCTTCTCCAAAACGTGCATTTAGTGTTTTAAAGAAGTTGTGTATACATTGAATTATCTCCCTTGTTTGCCTTGATAGCATAATGAACACGTCAAATCAATGTGCTACCAGTTTCCTTACATGTGTGAAAGTTCAACACATCTTTTGAGGTTGAATGGTAGCGCTGTTGTCTGTGACATTCACGTCGTCTTCATGGCGGAACATGCTGTGAACAGTTTTCATCTGTGTAAAGGATAGTGTGTTTCTGTGTAAAGGATAGTGTGTATATGTTGGACACTCTCCATGTGTCGTGTAATCCGTCCACTCGCCAAGCAGCACAGCCTCCACAGCCGTCACCCCAGGCTCAGACCTGCACTCAGTACAGGCTTGTATAGCATTTACAGCTGTTTGATGAACATTTACATTGGTTTTCCATGAAAATATACGTTTGTTACATGTGAGGTACTTAACTTGGCAGCATGGCAAATCCTTGTGTATCATTGTGTATATTGTATTATGTTGTGTATACATACATATTGTATTATGCATCATTATGTATACAAAGTATTTTATTGTTTATACAAGTAGTATTCTGTATGAAAGTAGTATTGTGTATACAAACATATTTTATTATGTATCATTGTGTATACAAATACTATTGTGTATACAAACATATTTGAATGTTGAATGTTTGCTCCATGTAAGGATATGGCTAGTGTGTTGGAGACGGGTACAAGACAGCATCAGCTACAGAGAGAGTCACTGCTGGCACTGTACATTGTTGTTATACAGACATACTGGACCAGTAGACTTGTGTGTGGCTTTATGGGGGGATAACTTGTGTTGAAAACAGGGTATCTTACAAGCTGAAGTAGGTTTCACTTATTTTCTTAACATTGATAATGGCATGTCTTATAGACTGTGATCCGCATCTCTTTAGGGGCCCAGTATGCATCAAAGCCAACCAGCACAGTCATCGTCCGTCCACATCATCCAGCACTAATGGACGTGGTAACAACCTGGTGTATGGCATCATGGGTTATCCTGGGAATCAGTGGATAATCCCACATACATTCAAGATAAAATAATATATTTATATATTGTTGTTAGCAGTGTTGGTATTGTATATCTCATGTGCATCCATCCATCGGTATATATTATGTAGAAAAACAAAATTCTTGGGTTATTTTATTCTCAGGACAAAAATGTATTAGTTTTGGCATAATCATTATAACTTTTGTTGATTAATGTTAACTAAAAAGTGCAAGTCTGAAAATTCTATTAATTTAAAAAATAAATAGGAAAAACATTTAAAATCAGCATCAGATGTCATTGCCAAATAATATATTTGTATGTCCTATTGATAGTACTGAAATACAGGAGTGAAATGTTTCATAAAAACACACCAAGAAAATAGCATTTAGTCATAGACAACAGGTTGCCATTTCCTTTAGAATGACACAAGTATTGTCTTAAACAGACTCTTTATGTGCATTTAAACTGCATATTGTCACAAGTCTTATTTATTCTGAATGCATTTTGCCACTACATTGTTCTTCAAACTGTTTATTTACAGACTTCTGGTTTTGAATGTTTACATCAAGAACCGATATATTGTTAACACATTGTCATGGAAGAGCAGGCCTTTATCTTTAAACAAGTTAAAAAAAAGTAAAAATACAAGTGTGTTGAAGATTTACGTTTGTGACATTTTATCGTGAGTGATAGCAGCCGATGTAAGTAGTCAAGCTTCTCCTTTAACACTTTGCCTTGATGAATCAGTCCTATTAAGTAGCAGGCATTTTATATTGTTATTTATTTACAAATCTACATCACTTTTATATCATTGTTTATTACATGAACAAACATATGCTGTTCTATTTTAGAGTTGTTTCAAGTTTTACATTATAGTATCCTGAAGGAGATTTTTCTGTGTAAAATCAATCCGATTGAACTGTGATAAGAGCACTCATGAATCAAATAGCCGGACATGGATCTGCTATAGTCCCCCCGGGTTTCCTACAGATCTGTACAGTATCGTGTACACTGCTGACTGTACCTGTACAGATGATCATAGGTCACAGACAAGGCAGCGTTACTCACATGTATTACTTCCTGTAATGAACCATGTAGACAACAATAAACTGTGAGTCAAGCATTGTCTTGTGTGTCTGTCAGATACAACACTCCTACCTCCACAGAATAGTGCTGACACTGAACACATGACACTGGTTACATCACTGCCACAACAGAATATTGCATACAGAGCACAGGTCAGCTGACAAGCAACAATTCTCCCTCTATGGATGGGGACAAGTTTATTGACACTGGCCATCCATTGAAGGGGCACTGGGCACAAGAAGTTAGTCACAGTCCGACCCTCCAGTCCTGGGACAAGAGGGAGTTCCCCCAGGGCAGGTAGAGGAATGCTACACAAGCATATACAGAGCAGTAAAGCAATAACTAACTCACAGGAAAGCAATAAGGTTTATTCAGTGTACTTTATACAAAATATTTGGGTGCATGTAACAACAGTTGCCAGCTTCCTTCTCTGTACAACGCTGACATCCTGGTACACAAACTGCTGTATAGTGGAGCTGCCCACAGGATCACGACTCAGTCAGGATGCATGGCAGATACATTACAAGTACAAGATCTAAAAGGATGACAAAAAGTCTTCTTCCATGAAATGACTCTTTGATGCACTCATGTAAGAAGAATTTACATTAATTCATTTACTTGATTCATTTCCTGGTGATAAAAGTGTGACTTGTGAAAGTGTAAGTACTAACACGGAATGAAGTGACAATCCTTGGGTCAATCAGTGAAGCAACCTTATATTCCACCCTGCCCCGCTACCCCAGCTAAACAAACAACCCCCAAGCCCCACCCTGTGACTCAGAGTGTCATCACTACTACAACCCAAAAGGGTCCAAGCATTATAATGTATGAATTCATGTAAAACACTGGAATAAATAGAACCTTGATATAACATAAAAAAAACATTCTTTTATCAAATTCATATAAAAACATAAAAAAAATTAATTGTTGTAAATCCAAATCCTAAAATAGTTTTAAACGTATTAAAAGACGAGGAGATGTGGTGAAGTCCTGAGGTACATAGTGGAGTCAGATGTTCAGTTTGCCAGCCCTACGATCTTGAAGGTCCATCCCCACTGACACGGTATCCTGTTGAAGGGAATGTTTGGCAGTGTGATAGTGATCCCCCCCTGTGGGTTCTTGGTGTACTCAAACTCCCCCTTATACCCCAGTAGGGTGATGTTGGTGTCAGCTGATGGGATCGGGGCACCCAGGACCAACTGGGAGCTCATCGGCCACTTCAGCAGGATCGCATACGCGTCTAAACCAGCAGCCCCCTTCTTGGCAGTGTACCTGGGGAGTAACATTGTGCATGTCACTTCTACACCGCAATATCAAATACAGGAAACTACAGTTAGAACAAAACTCAAAAGGATCTCTCATTTTAGTTTGTTACAGCTGTAGTTCGCTATAAGAATTTCAAATAGAATATACAGAACGTGACGAGGACCAAACAAACAGTTTGTTACATCCATCAGTTCGTTGTAAAGAGAATACTAAACGATGTCCTGCATAATACAATATTTATGAAACGAGTGAATGGTTTGGTATCTAACGAGGGAAAGCGAGTTAGATACCAATACCATTCACGAGTTTCATAAATATGATATTGCACGGGACATAGTTTAGTATTTTATTTATTACTCACCCAACATTAGCAAAATAATATCGAGCAAAGTACATTTTTCCTGAGAATTCAATGAGTGTGATGACTCAGGTTTCCGCGAGTCAAGCAAGGTCCAATACTATTGTGACAGAGGTGTTAGCATTGTGACGTCATAACTGTAAACCACTTTGGCGTCATACGTACGACATCCCGCAATGTTATTAAACAATGTGTAATAACATTGTAAAATTATTAAACAGTGATATCTTCAACGGGTGAGTAATAAAAGTGTGTTCATTACAAAGATGCTTTATGGTTACCACAAAACAACATGGCATTTACAAATTAACTTTTTTCTGTTATCATGAGAATATTTATAACCCGCCCTTTTCCAGGCTAGATATCCTATTCAAAGCGCACAATCTGATCATTATTACCCCAGATAACCCAAGCTGCCTTTTAGGCGCGAAAAGGTTAATCGTCATAACATATTTCACGGGGTACCCATTTTCTGCTGGGTGAACAGAGGCAATTTTGAACAAACTCACTTGCCTAAGGTGAGACCACATGTATCACATGTGCTTCGTTGTGGGGCATGACTGAAGTCCTAGAAACTCTCAGGAGTCAAGCTGCCAAACACGGTCACCCATCAAAGGTCTCTCTGCACCCAACGTGGCTTAACTTTTACTGATTTGTGACCTGAGCAGCGCTATGCACCGGACCACACGCCACCATCATGTGGACTTTGTTGTCCCAAATACGAGACATGCTGATACAGAGAGTATAAATAACTCTTCAGTCGGACAGTTTGTTGTTAATTACATGAAATATCAGTTCCATATACTGACCACACATCGGAATTGATGGTATCATTCTGGTATTGCCAGGTGGTTGTACCGTAGATGCCCTCGCCATTGACATCCAGCCACTGTCCCATCTGCCGCAGCCTCTCCTCGTAGATGGGGGCGATCACCCCGTAGCTGGTGGGGCCCACATTGACCAGCAGGTTGCCGCCACAGCTGCACACAACACAACATGACTCAACTCTTGTTGAACTGACTACAACTGGTAATGCCCACTAAAGCACATTTACTACAGCTGTTCATAATCCTTATATTCATAATAATATACATTTTAATCTATTGTTCTGTTAGACTGGCTTTTTAGAAGCTGACGAGTAATAAGGAGAGTAGGAACCTTACGGAAGATTGCTTTTTTGTCGTATTATGATTCAACATTTCGGTATAGATTTCTATGCCACTGTCACTTTTGCTTGAAAGTGTACTTGAACTGATTATCACCACACAACATCCACACAAAGCCCCCAACAGACCTGACAGTTTCCACGAGCAGTGAGATGAGTTCCTCCATGCTGTACAGCTGGGCGATGTCTGCGTCGCGGCGGAAACCCCACGATCCTTTGTCAATACTCATACAGTTCTCCCACTTGTGGGTCACCTTCTTCCCTTCAAACGAAACAAACTATGATAGATGCTTCTCATAGGTCCTGTAGTATGGAATGGTAGGATGCTGCTGCTGCTGCTGATGATGACAATGATGGTGACACAAGAGATTTTATGGGATAAATCTGTACTTATCTCACCTGGGTTGCATTTGTCTCCTCTGGATCGTATTTGTCTCCCCGAGTTGTACTTGTTTCACCTGGCTTACATTTGGCTTACATTTGGCTTACCTATATTGTATTTGTCTCACCTGGCTTACATTTGGCTTACCTATATTGTATTTGGCTCACCTGGCTTACATTTGGCTTACCTATATTGTATTTGTCTCACCTGGCTTACATTTGGCTCACCTGGTTTACATTCGGCTCACCTATATTGTATTTGTCTCACCTGGCTTACATTTGGCTTACCTATATTGTATTTGGCTCACCTTTACATTTGGCTTACCTATATTGTATTTGGCTCACCTGGCTTACATTTGGCTTACCTATATTGTATTTGGCTCACCTGGCTTACATTTGGCTTACCTATATTGTATTTGTCTCACCTGGCTTACATTTGGCTCACCTGGTTTACATTCGGCTCACCTATATTGTATTTGTCTCACCTGGCTTACATTTGGCTTACCTATATTGTATTTGTCTCACCTGGCTTACATTTGGCTTACCTATATTGTATTTGTCTCACCTGGCTTACATTTGGCTTACCTATATTGTATTTGTCTCACCTGGCTTACATTTGGTTTACCTATATTGTATTTGGCTCACCTGGCTTACATTTGGCTTATCTATATTGTATTTGGCTTACCTATATTGTATTTGTCTCACCTGGCTTACATTTGGCTTACCTATATCGTATTTGGCTCACCTGGCTTACATTTGGGTCCCCTACATTGTATTTGTCTCACCTGGGTTGTATTTGTCGTTGCAGTTCCAGAATCCCCCATGTTTGCAGCGTGTGTTGCTGCCCCACCGATCGTTGACTACCACAGAGTCCTTCACTGGGCTGTCAATACAATGGGAGAAGTGTTTACTGGAATAAGGGATTGAACTGTTCATAACATAGACAGGTTTTTTTCCTTTTGGACAAACATATACTACTATCAGCACAATGACTTGAATACAATCAAGGAATTTGATGTTAACGTAATCTGTCATTAGCTGAAAAGTCACAACAGTAACCCCATACCCTCTCACCTCTTGTTGAACCCTTCCACACATTTGTGACCTCTCACCTCTTGTTGAACCCTTCCACACATTTGTGACCTCTCACCTCTTGTTGAACCCTTCCACACATTTGTGACCTCTCACCTCTTGTTGAACCCTTCCATACATCTGTGACCTCTCACCTCTCGTTGAACCCTTCCACACATCTGTGACCTCTCACCTCTTGTTGAACCCTTCCACACATCTGTGACCTCTCACCTCTTGTTGAACCCTTCCACACATCTGTGACCTCTCACCTCTTGTTGAACCCTTCCACACATCTGTGACCTCTCACCTCTTATTGAACCCTTCCACACATCTGTGACCTCTCACCTCTTGTTGAACCCTTCCATACATCTGTGACCTCTCACCTCTTGTTGAACCCTTCCATACATCTGTGACCTCTCACCTCTTGTTGAACCCTTCCACACATCTGTGACCTCTCACCTCTTGTTGAACCCTTCCATACATCTGTGACCTCTCACCTCTTGTTGAACCCTTCCACACATCTGTGACCTCTCACCTCTTGTTGAACCCTTCCACACATCTGTGACCTCTCACCTCTTGTTGAACCCTTCCACACATCTGTGACCTCTCACCTCTTGTTGAACCCTTCCACACATCTGTGACCTCTCACCCTCTTGTTGAACCCTTCCACACATCTGTGACCTCTCACCTCTTGTTGAACCCTTCCCACATCTGTGACCTCTCACCTCTTTGTTGAACCCTTCCACACATCTGTGACCTCTCACCTCTTGTTGAACCCTTCCACACATCTGACCTCTCACCTGACCTCTCACTGTGACCTTGTTGAACCCTTCCACACATCTGTGACCTCTCACCTCTTGTTGAACCCTTCCACACATCTGTGACCTCTCACCTCTTGTTGAACCCTTCCACACATCTGTGACCTCTCACCTCTTGTTGAACCCTTCCACACATCTGTGACCTCTCACCTCTTGTTGAACCCTTCCACACATCTGTGACCTCTCACCTCTTGTTGAACCCTTCCATACATCTGTGACCTCTCACCTCTTGTTGAACCCTTCCACACATCTGTGACCTCTCACCTCTTGTTGAACCCTTCCATACATCTGTGACCTCTCACCTCTTGTTGAACCCTTTCCATACATCTGTGACCTCTCACCTCTTGTTGAACCCTTCCACACATCTGTGACCTCTCACCTCTTGTTGAACCCTTCCACACACCTGTGACCTCTCACCTCTTGTTGAACCCTTCCACACATCTGTGACCTCTCAACTCTTGTTGAACCCTTCCACACATCTGTGACCTCTCACCTCTTGTTGAACCCTTCCATACATCTGTGACCTCTCACCTCTTGTTGAACCCTTCCACACATTTGTGACCTCTCACCTCTTGTTGAACCCTTCCACACATCTGTGACCTCTCACCACTTGTTGAACATTTCCATACATCTGTGACCTCTCACCTCTTGTTGAACCCTTCCATACATCTGTGACCTCTCACCTCTTGTTGAACCCTTCCACACATCTGTGACCTCTCACCTCTTGTTGAACCCTTCCATACATCTGTGACCTCTCACCTCTTGTTGAACCCTTCCACACATCTGTGACCTCTCACCTCTTGTTGAACCCTTCCATACATCTGTGACCTCTCACCTCTTGTTGAACCCTTTCACACATCTGTGACCTCTCACCTCTTGTTGAACCCTTCCATACATCTGTGACCTCTCACCTCTTGTTGAACCCTTCCATACATCTGTGACCTCTCACCTCTTGTTGAACCCTTCCACACATCTGTGACCTCTCACCTCTTGTTGAACCCTTCCACACATCTGTGACCTCTCAACTCTTGTTGAACCCTTCCACACATCTGTGACCTCTCAACTCTCTTGTTGAACCCTTCCCATACATCTGTGACCTCTCACCTCTTGTTGAACCCTTTCCACACATCTGTGACCTCTCACCTCTTGTTGAACCCTTCCATACATCTGTGACCTCTCACCTCTTGTTGAACCCTTCCATACATCTGTGACCTCTCACCTCTTGTTGAACCCTTCCATACATCTGTGACCTCTCACCTCTTGTTGAACCCTTCCATACATCTGTGACCTCTCACCTCTTGTTGAACCCTTCCACACATCTGTGACCTCTCACCTCCTTGTTGAACCCTTCCTTACATCTGTGACCTCTCACCTCTTGTTGAACCCTTCCACACATCTGTGACCTCTCACCTCTTGTTGAACCCTTCACATACCTCTCACCTCTTGTTGAACCCTTCCACACTCTGTGACCTCTGTTGTTGAACCCTTTCCACACATCTGTGACCTCTCACCTCTTGTTGAACCCTTCCATACATCTGTGACCTCTCACCTCTTGTTGAACCCTTCCACCTCTCACATCTGTGACCTCTCACCTCTTGTTGAACCCTTCCACACATCTGTGACCTCTCACCTCTTGTTGAACCCTTCCACACATCTGTGACCTCTCACCTCTTGTTGAACCCTTCCATACATCTGTGACCTCTCACCTCTTGTTGAACCCTTCCACACATCTGTGACTCCTCACCTCTCTTGTTGAACCCTTCCACACATCTGTGACCTCTCACCTCTTGTTGAACCCTTCCACACATCTGTGACCTCTCACCTCTTGTTGAACCCTTCCACACATCTGTGACCTCTCACCTCTTGTTGAACCTTTTCCATACATCTGTGACCTCTCACCTCTTGTTGAACCCTTTCCATACCTTGACCTCTCACCTCTTGTTGAACCCTTTCATACATCTGTGACCTCTCACCTCTTGTTGAACCCTTTCATACATCCTGTGACCTCTCACCTCTTGTTGAACCCTTCCACACATCTGTGACCTCTCGCCTCTTGTTGAACCCTTCCACACATTTGAACCCTTTCCACACATCTGTGACCTCTCACCTCTTGTTGAACCCTTCCACACATTTGTGACCTCTCAACTCTTGTTGAACCCTTCCATACATCTGTGACCTCTCACCTCTTGTTGAACCCTTCCATACATCTGTGACCTCTCACCTCTCATTGTACAGCCAGGCCAGGAAGTCAGTGGAGTTCCAGTACCAGTCTGGGGCCTCCCAGTCTCCGTCCGACCAAACCACTTCCGGCTTGTAAGCCTTGACCAGCTCATACAGCTCCGGCATGGCCTTGCTCTGCCACAGAACAAGTCACAGCATCACAATTACCATCACATAGCACCCGGTGACAACATCACAATTACCATCACATAGCACCCGGTGACGACATCACAATTACCATCACATAGCACCAGGTGACGACATCACAATTACCGCCCCATAGCACCAGGTCACGACATCACAATTACCGCCCAACAGCACCCGGTGTAGGTACAAATATTGCTGATACACTGCTGTAATGTTGCCAATTGCAGCACAAGACAACAGGCACTCAGTTACTCCTCAGTGCTGTGGTCAGACAGAGGATCAGACAGAGGGTCAGACTGTGGGTCAGACAGAGAGTCAAACAGTGGGTCAGACTGTGGGTCAGGCAGAGGACCAGACAGAGGCTCAGACAGGGGGTCAGACTGCGGGTCAGACGGGGTCGGACAGAGGGTTAGATTGTGGGTCAGACAGAGGGTCAGACATGGGTTAGACTGTGGGTCAGACAGGGGGTCGGACAGTGGGTCAGACAGGGGGTTAGACTGTGGGTCAGACGGGGTCGGACAGAGGGTTAGATTGTGGGTCAGACAGAGGGTCAGAGGTTAGACTGGGTCAGACAGGGGGTCGGACAGTGGGTCAAACAGGGGGTTAGACTGTGGGTCAGACAGAGGGTCAGGCTGTGGGTCACACAGAGGGTCAGACAGGGGGTCAAACAGGGGGTTAGACTGTGGGTCAGACAGAGGGTCAGACTGTGGGTCAGACTGTGGGTCAGACAGGGGTTAGACTGTGGGTCAGACAGGGGGTTAGACTGTGGGTCAGACGGGTAAGACTGTTGGTTAGACAGGGGTCAGACTGTGGGTCAGACTGTGGGTCAGACTGTGGGTCAGACAGAGGGTCAGACTGTGGGTGTCAGACTGGGTGTCAGACTGAGGGTCAGACAGAGGGTCAGACTGTGGTTCAGACTGTGGGTCAGACAGAGGATCAGACAGAGGGTTAAACTGTGAGTCAGACTGAGGGTCAGACAGAGGGTCAGACTGTGGGTCAGACAGAGGGTCAGACAGAGGGTCAGACTGTGGGTCAGACAGAGGGTCAGACATGGGTTAGACTGTGAGTCAGACTGAGGGTCAGACAGGGGTTAGACTGTGAGTCAGACTGAGGGTCAGACAGGGGTTAGACTGTGAGTCAGACTGAGGGTCAGACAGGGGTTAGACTGTGAGTCAGACTGAGGGTCAGACAGGGGTCAGACAGGGTGTCAGACTGTGGGTGAGACAGAGGGTCAGACTGTGGGTCAAACACTCACCATGACAAAGTTGTTTGTTGTCCAGTTGTTCTTCTTGTCCTGGAGGTACAGGGGGTGGAACCACTCCAGCAGGGAGTGGTAGATTCCAAAGTGGAGATCCGTGCTCTTCCTGACCGCAGCTGCCAGGTCACCTGACAAACAGCTTTCAGCATCACCAATAGTTCATGTTCACAGACTTTCACTCTTGTATTGCTAGGTAGGAAATAACAATATTTCTCAACTTTTAAAAAGAAAATCACACATTATTGGGGACAAATTTCTCCATCACAAAATGTTTTTCAACCATTTACCATGTTTACCATCATCAACCAAATCTCTTCAGGAACCAAATCCCTGCAGGAGACGAATCCCTGCAGTTGAATCCCATCAGTAATACAGACAGTAAGTGCCTACCAACAAGGTCTCTGTTGGGTCCAACATCTTTTGCGTTCCAGTTGAATGAGTAGTTCGACGGCCAGTTGGTGAATCCCTCATGATGTTTGGTGACCAGAACCAGATACCTGTAACATGGACATTAGTCTGGGATACCTGTAACATGGACATTAGTCTGGGATACCTGTAACATGTACATTAGTCTGAGATACCTGTAACATGGACATTAGTCTGGGATACCTGTAACATGTACATTAGTCTGAGATACCTGTACCATGGACATTAGTCTGGGATACCTGTACCATGGACATTAGTCTGAGATACCTGTAACATGGACATTAGTCTGGGATACCTGTAACATGGACATTAGTCTGGGATACCTGTAACACTGACACACATCTGGGATACCTGTAACATGGACATTAGTCTAGGATACCTGTAACATGGACATTAGTCTAGGATACCTGTAACATGGACATTAGTCTGGGATACCCGTAACACTGACACACATCTGGGATACCTGTATCATGGACATTAGTCTGGGATACCTGTATCATGGACATTAGTCTGGGATACCTGTAACATGGACGCACATCTGGGATACCTGTAACATGGACATTAGTCTGGGATACCTGTGTCATGGACATAAGTCTGAGATACCTGTAACACTGACACACATCCAGGATACCTGTACCATGGACATTAGTCTGGGATACCTGTAACATGGACATTAGTCTGAGATACCTGTAACACTGACACACATCCAGGATACCTGTACCATGGACATTAGTCTGGGATACCTGTAACATGGACACTAGTCTGGGATACCTGTAACATGTACAATAGTCTGGGATACCTGTAACATGGACATTAGTCCGGGATACCTGTAACATGGACATTAGTCTGGGATACCTGTATCATGGACATTAGTCTAGGATACCTGTAACATGGACATTAGTCTGGGATACCTGTAACATGGACATTAGTCCGGGATACCTGTAACATGTACATTAGTCTGGGATACCTGTAACATGTACATTAGTCTGGGATACCTGTAACATGTACATTAGTCTAGGATACCTGTAACACTGATACACATCTGGGATACCTGTAACATGGACATTAGTCTGGGTTACCTGTAACATGGACATTAGTCTGGGATACCTGTAACACTGACACATTTGGGATACCTGTAACATGTACATTAGTCTGGGATACCTGTAACATGGACATAAGTCTGGGATACCTATATCATAGACATTAGTCTGGGATACCTGTAACACGGACATTAGTCTGGGATACCTGTAACATAGACATTAGTCTGGGATATCTGTAACACTGACATATATAGTGTACAGGTATGGGCCCCAGGTATATATAGGTGAGGTGAAATTGGGTTTAACGTCGTGCTTGAGAATATTTCGCTCATATGACAATGTGCATGCGCGTGTGTGTGTATGTGCGGCTGCTTGTACTAGCCCAGACTTAAGCTGGTTTTATAGTGCTAGCCCACTAAGATAACATGCTGCAGTGATGCATGAATACCCCACTCAGACACATTATACTGACTCCGAGCCGACCAGTCCTTGTTGTACCCATTAATGCCGAGCGCCAGACAGGGACCAACAAGTACCATATTTAGCGTCTTTTGGTATGACGCGGTCGGGGATTGAAGCCGCCACCTTCCGCTCTCTAGGCGGACGCTCTAACCACTACACCATGGAGGCAGTCAGGTATATATAGTGTACAGGTATGGGCCCTACGTATATATTTTATACAGGTATGGGTTCCAGGTATATATAGTGTACAGGTATGGCCTCCAGGTATATATAGTGTACAGGTATGGGCCCCAGGTATATAGTGTACAGGTATGGGCCCCAGGTATATAGTGTACAGGTATGGGCCCCAGGTATATATAGTGTACAGGTATGGGCCCCAGGTATATATAGTGTACAGGTATGGGCCCCAGGTATATATAGTGTACAGGTATGGGCCCCAGTATATATATATATAGTGTACAGGCATGGCCCCAGGTATATATAGTGTACAGGCATGGCCCCAGGTATATATAGTGTACAGGCATGGCCTCCCAGGTATATATAGTGTATATGGCCTCCAGGTATATATAGTGTACAGGTATGGCCCCAGGTATATATAGTGTACAGGTATGGCCCAGTATATATAGTGTACAGGCATGGCCCCAGGTATATATAGTGTCCAGGTATATATAGTGTACAGGCATGGGCTATACAGGCATATATATGGGCCCATAGTACAGGTATACAGGTATATATAGTGGGCCTCCAGGTATATATAGTGTACAGGTATGGCCTCCAGGTATATATAGTGTACAGGTATGAGCCCCCAGGTATATATAGTGTACAGGTGAGCCTCAGGTATATATAGTGTACAGGCATGGCCTCCAGGTATATATAGTGTACAGGTATGGCTCCAGGTATATATAGTGTACAGGTATGGGCCCCCAGGTATATATAGTGTACAGGCATGGCCTCCAGGTATATATAGTGTACAGGTATGGGCTCCAGGTATATATAGTGTACAGGTATGGCCTCCAGGTATATATAGTGTACAGGTATGGGCTCCAGGTATATATAGTGTACAGGCATGGCCTCCAGGTATATATAGTGTACAGGTATGGCCTCCAGGTATATATAGTGTACAGGCATGGCCTCCAGGTATATATAGTGTACAGGTATGGGCCCCAGGTATATATAGTGTACAGGTATGGCCTCCAGGTATATATAGTGTACAGGTATGGCCCCAGGTATATATAGTGTACAGGTATGGCTCCAGGTATATATAGTGTACAGGTATGGGCCCCAGGTATATATAGTAGTGTATGGGCCTCCAGGTATGGACCCAGGTATATATAGTGTACAAGGTATGGGCTCCAGGTATATAGTGTACAGGTATGGGCCCCAGGTATATAGTGTACAGGTATGGGCTCCAGGTATATATAGTGTACAGGTATGGGCTCAGGGTATATATAGTGTACAGGTATGGCATGGGCTCAGGTATATATAGTGTACAGGTATGGCCTATAGGTATATATAGTCCAGGCTCAGGTATATATAGTGTACAGGCATGGCCCCAGGTATATATAGTGTACAGGTATGGGTATAGACCCAGGTATATATAGTGTACAGGTATGGCCTCCAGGTATATATAGTGTACAGGTATGTGTACACTCCAGGTATATATAGTGTACAGGCATGGCCCAGGTATATATAGTGTACAGGTATGTATGGCCCCAGGTATATATAGTGTACAGGTATGGGCCCCAGGTATATATAGTGTACAGGTATGGGCCCCAGGTATATATAGTGTACAGGTATGGGCTCCAGGTATATATAGTGTACAGGTATGGGCCCCAGGTATATATAGTGTACAGGTATGGGCCCCAGGTATATATAGTGTACAGGTATGGGCTCCAGGTATATATAGTGTACAGGTATGGGCCCAGGTATATATAGTGTACAGGTACAGGTATATATAGTGTACAGGGCTCCAGGTATATATAGGTGTACAGGTATGGCCTCCAGGTATATATAGTGTACAGGTATGGGCTCCAGGTATATATAGTGTACAGGTATGGCCTCCAGGTATATATAGTGTACACAGGTATATATAGTGTAGGTATGGCCTCCAGGTATATATAGTGTACAGGTATGGGCTCCAGGTATATATAGTGTACAGGTATGGCTCCAGGTATATATAGTGTACAGGCATGGCCTCCAGGTATATATAGTGTACAGGCATGGCCTCCAGGTATATATAGTGTACAGGTATGGCCTCCAGGTATATATAGTGTACAGGCATGGGCTCCAGGTATATATAGTGTACAGGTATGGCCTCCAGGTATATATAGTGTACAGGCATGGCCTCCAGGTATATAGTGTACAGGTATGAAGCTCAGTGTATATAATGTGCAGGCCCAGGTATATATAGTGTACAGGTATGGCCTCCAGGTATATATAGTGTACAGGCATGTGCTCCAGGTATATAGTGTACAGGTATGGCTCCAGGTATATATAGTATAGATACATGGCCTCCATATATAGTGTACAGGCTCCAGGTATATATAGTGTACAGGTATGGCCTCCAGGTATATATAGTGTACAGGTATGGGCTCCAGGTATATATAGTGTACAGGTATGGGCTCCCAGGTATATATAGTGTATGGGCTCCAGGTATATACAGGCATGGCCTCCAGGTATATATAGTGTACGAATTATGGTGTATAGATATGTATGGGCTACAGGTATGTGTACAGGCATGGCCTCCAGGTATATATAGTGTACAGGTATGGGCCCCAGGTATATATAGTGTACAGGTATGGGCCCCAGGTATATATAGTGTACAGGTATGGGCTCCAGGTATATATAGTGTACAGGTATGGGCCCCAGGTATATATACTGTACAGGTATGGTCCCTAGGCATAGATAATGTACACATTCCGGTGAGGAATAAATATATTTAGGTAATATGATTCGACTAGAATGAAATTTAAGGGGGGATACGGGCGGAAGTCTTTCCCAGCTTCCTTGTGTACTCTAGGTGGACACTCGATCACTGAGCAGGCGTCAAACAGATAAACTTACTTGGCACCTGATGCCTTGAATATGTCCGCCCAACGCTCTGGGCTGTAGAACTCAGCCTTGAACTGTGGGGCGAAGTCAGCGTACGTGAAATCCGGCCTGTAGTTCTCCATCATGAACAAAACTACGTTGTATTGTTTGGCCATCTTCCACTGTTCCCAGAACCACTCGCTGCTGTAACTCGGCACAGAAAACACTCCCCAGTGGAGGAAAATACCCACTTTAGACTCATCGTACCACGACGGCAGAGGTCTGGCGTCCAGGGATTTCCAGTTGTTCTGGTACTTCACCCCTGCACACCCCGCGACTAAAACTAAACTCAGCAAAATCCACCTCGCCATTCCACCTTGTCTCACTGCTCGCGATACAACACAAACATGTCGCGGTCACATGATTCCCACCAGGAAAAGTCACGTGAGTATTATGAAAGCGTCTATAGAGATAGACTGGGATCTTGTCTACTAAACAAAGTCTTAGTCTGGACCATCTTCTAAGCGTTAACATTCGGCGCACACAAACATTTGAACCAGTCAATAAAAACAGGTTCCACGATTTGGTTGCGCAGCATGCCTGGCGCTTTTAGTCAACACGAGCCCATTCGTAATTACTCGCCTCTGTCCGTGACCTACAAGAATGACACGAGTAGTTACGAATGAACACGAGCCCAGTCAATGTCCAACACTGGGTGCCCAGTCTATTTTTTAACTGATATGCATTTACTCTCAGCCATCTTTACTTGTTCTCTTGACTGTTATAATCGCAGATGCATACCGGGAATTCCCGCATTTAAGCCCCGGGCTTAAATACGGAAAATCACTGTTCTTGTGATGAAATATTTTAACCATATTTAAGCCAAGGGCTTAAGTTCGAAAATGCACAATATTTTGATAAAATGGAAAAGAATCAGGATTTTTGAAAATATTATAATCAGGAAACTGGTCTTTAGATTCAAAATTTAGAGTTATGAAAATGTTTACTCGAGTGAGTATATGCAGGGAGACTCTATAAGGTTGTTGTAGAGTATCCCTGGTATATGTCAACGTGAATGATAAAGTTGAGAGTCTTTAATGCAAAACACGAACTTGAAACTATTATGAGAACACTGACTGACATCTAAGACAGTGACTAGTCTCTACAGTGAGTATTTAGAGCCACACTGTTTTCAGAGTTCAAAGCTTTGTTCCCTCGAGTGAGTATTTCAACTGTCAACTGTGAACGGAATGATGAAATTATAACAAAACATGAACTTCAAACTAATAGTTTGAGTTGAGTTAAGTTGGGCTTTACGTCATATCGGCATTATTCCAGCCCATATAGTGACGAGATCAATTCTGAATTCATGACCATTTTAACTTCAAACTATAATGTGTCAGGAGTGACTGATGACAGTGACACTATTCAGAGTCAAAGTCTCCGCGTTTAGAAAGGGACGTCACTCGTCACTTTGAACGCCCAAGAATTAAATCCAAATTTAAGCCAATGGACTTAAATACGCGGAAAAATCCCGTATTTTGGCCCATGGGCTAAATTTCGCGTGGGCCTAAATACGGGAATTCCCGGTATGTAATACATAGTTGTTTTAGAGGGAGATTCTAAAGCTGGAATATTATGTCCTGTTGACGCTGCGCTCTGCCTCTACACATTTCAAGCTCTCATAGTGTGGAGTGAGCTTTGAACCAGTCTGGTTCCCGGGGTCTGTGGCGCTAACGCTTCGGGCTTTGAACCAAATCATGTTTTTTCCTTTATAGGTTTTTAAAACACATGTATCTTCTATATTCACGGCGATTGTAATAACGATTATCAGTAATGATTATACAATGTCATTTAGAACGTGGCCAAATGTAATTTTCAGTAGTTATCAGTAAAGAAGCAAACAAATATAGTACCCAGAACCATAGCTGTTACCGTCTTCTTTTCAACAGTTCATGCAGTGACTGGCTGGCTGTCTGGGTATGGTTTTACGCCGTTTTTAGCAATATTCCAGCAATATCACGGCGGGGGGACACCAGAAATGGGCTTCACAAGTTGTACCCATGTGGGGAATCGAACCCGGGCCTTCGGCGTGACGAGCGAACGCTTTAACCACTAGGCTACCCCACCGCCCCCATGCAGTGATGATATGGAAGGGGCAGTGATGATATGGAAGGGCTTGTGAGTTTTCAGGTATCCTGCAAATTGCCCGATTACCTCCTCGCAGTTTTAATTCATGAACATTTTCTTATAAGCTGCCCCATAGTTATTAGTGTTAAAGACTGTGTGAATTCCTTCCTTGAAACAAGACAGCTATCTCTATCTCCAGGACGTATCGGCGTACAGTCAGATCAGTTTATCCACAAGTTGCCCAGAGTGTACAAAAAAGTTCATTCCTTAAATTTTAAATAGTCCTTCATTCTACCGCGGTATGTTTTCCAAATAATCGAGTCTGGCTTTGTCACGTGTCCCGATACAATTTTTTATGCGTTCTAAGTTACATCAATCCAGGACCTCATATTTCGCCTCATGACAGGAGGATAACTGAAAACTACGGGCATTATCTTGCTGAAGCGTGAAGTTACGTCGCTGTCTGTGAATGAACGGCTGCATATGAGGCCCAATGATCTCATAAATGTATCGCAGACCTGTCAGATTGCCACTGACAATGACAAGTTGTGTCCGACCATGTGAGATGTGATGACTCTCCATGTCATAACGCTCTCTCCACCAAACTGCTGATGTTGAACAACGCACGCGTCAGCATACCGTTCACCTCGCCGTCTGTACACCCATGCCCTGCCATCTGAGCTGTTCAGATGAGATCTCGACTCGTCAGTGACCACCATCTTAATCTTGTCTCCTGTACGGAAGATGCTGTCTTCACCTGGCAAGACGTGCCTATCGTCGACGTTGGAACAAAATTGGACGTATTGCAGGCCGTCGGCGCCGGATGTTGTGCTCCCTCAGACGGTTCCTGAAAGTGCTGTAATTGATTGGACGTAAGTCAGAATGGTCCGAGCAGTCAAACTGGCAGTCTGGAATCAATTCCTTTGATGGGTCAGCCGAATGGAGCTGTCTTGCTGAAGTGACGGACGCTGATTTTCTGTAAGTCATGACATGAGGTAAGCGCAGTTTAGGTTGGTATTAACGGGTTTTCCACAACATTCGGAAGCTAATAGAGAACAATCAACCGTTCTTCAATATTCAATATCAGGTGTGTGAACCTCAGGTGTCAAAAAAGCATGCAGAAAGTGAGTAAGCTCATTGTGCACAAAGTGCACGTGCCACGCGCGATACGTGACATCAAATTTCATGTGCAAAGTTCTTTCCTACATGTTTATTTTGGGTTATTTTTATAACTTTTCAAATAACTTTTATTTTATGCCATATCATGTTATACGTGGTGCCGTTAGTTTAGTCATGTTATTTAGTACAGAAACCGCTACGTTGTGGGACGTTTACACAGTCGGTGATAAAACTGTTGTGAGATGTGAAACACAGATCAAACAAAGTCGAATAATGTTTAAGATCATGTATATATTTCACTGGGTCACCGCTTCAGGTTTCAGATCGCAATGTTTTGTACAAGTAAGTGTGTATAGGTTATTCAACATTTGGAGTCCGCGAAAAAGTTTTAGGTACGGTTCTCTGTGTGTACGGGTACGGATCTCCGTGTGTACGGGTACGGATCTCCGTGTGTACGGGTTGTCCAGTTCCCTATCCTGCTGACAGTCAGTAATGGAGTCGTGATGAGGAAAACCAGAGACTGAAAGTGTGAACATCGATCCCAGCCACCCGATTTGTGTTGACTCTTACGACAAACGTCGACGTCATAAGCTGTCCGAAGACCAGCTCTGTCAGGGACCAGGAAGAACCCAGTTGTTTATCAGGGGCAGGCGGTGCCCCCCGCGGATCCTCTATGTTGTCGATACATGTGGGAATGTGCATGCGCGATACGCCCTGCACTGATGGTTTAGCGCGTGTATCAGGTATTACTTGTTTAATCATTTTCGATTTCGCTTTACTACGTGCGGATAGTTCATTGGAAACGTTGTTGTTTACTTGTACTAGGTGCCTGTCTACAAGTATACCCTCTTACAGCAACTGTCCTTGATCCAACAGATAATGCTTGAGCGATACTAAAGGTCATCTGGACGTAGGAGATGTAAGTCAGATAACATGTACGCCTGACCATATACCTGACCAACAACTAGCCATGAAGACAACATTTCGGAAAATACACTTTGCAAAGAAACCAAATCATATTCTCACCTTACATCTTTTACAGGTCCATGTCTTTATCTTCAAATCACATACACGTTTTCTCCAAATGTTGACGCGCTGGGTGCAGACTGCTGGTGTTATTGGCCACAACAATTCACGGAGTACAAGCCCCCTGTGTAACACACGTTCGTACACACTGCCATGTCCAGACGATATCTCAGCGCACGTGTAGTCCAAGTGCAGGTACTCTGTTAGGTTTATAAAGAGATCATGTACAGATTGCCCACAGACCCTGTACAGATTACAAAGACTATGTACAGATTACAAAGAAACCATGTACAGATATCACACAAACCATGTTCAGATTACACACCTGTAAATCATTTACACATTACACAAATACCACATACAGAGTACACACACACCACATACAGAGTACACACATACCACATACAGAGTAATAATAATAATAACCACATACAGAGTAATACGCACATACCACATACAGAGCAATATCAATCTCACACATACAGAGTACACACACACCACATACAGAGTAATACTACACACCACATACAGAGTACACACATACTCACACACACAGAGTACATACAGAGTAATACACACCACATGTACAGACTACACACCACACACAGAAAGGTCCCCAAACACATGTACCACAAATCATCTAGAGAGCCTAATAATCACACACCACATACAGACTACACAATCATCCTAACAGATCAAATCCTCACTACACAGACCCCAGTCATCATACAGAGTGGGCCAAATCTTCACCACACACAGAGTAATACAGGCCGATCATCCCACATACAGAGCCAAATACACATACCTCACAGACCCAAATCATGACCACACGGACTAACCATCACCACACAAGAGGCAAATCATCAACCTAGACCCAAATCATCACCACACAGACCCAAATCATCACTACTTCAGACCCAATCATCCCACCACACAAGGCCAAATCATCACTTACACATCCCATACAGAGCCAAATAATCCACAGGAGCCAAATCATACACCACATACAGAGCACACATGCACCACCATACAGACCCACATCATCCTTCCCTGAGACCCAAATCACACTACAGAGTAATAATACACATACCACATACAGAGTACCTAATCACACACTGAACCACATCCCACACAGAGCCACTATCCATCACTCACATGTA